AGTAGCCAAGCGGGTTTCCTCGACAGTTGAACGTGCAGCCGTACGCCCTTATCGCCAAGCGTACATATCCCGAGCATCTTAACACTTGGTTTCTTGATAGCTGATGTGGTCACCACATGGCATCTACAAGTCAATATCTTCTCAGCTGGCGAGACCTGCCAAACGGAGAGAAGTACAACATCACAGTTGCTAACAACCTGGTTATTGAAGCAACTAGAATTGGAGATGTGATACTAGCGTCCGACGACACCGAAGTTGCTACAGGACTCGTCGCTACGGGACTCAGCTTCAACCTACTATCACAAGCACAGCAGATGGAAAGCGGCATCTGTTTCGTCAACACCGCCAACACGATGCTTACGGAGTTGTACCTGGGCGACAAGAAGGCTGACAAAAGTAATTTAGTGAGCATCGCATAAATTATAGGCTGTGTTTCTGCTCTACAGTTTTCACCTGCCAAGGCATCTATCGACAGTGAGAAGAATGTCTCACTTGCTCCTTGGCATCATCACTGGGAAACAGATCTTCAACACCAAGACCATCATGGTCTCAATGTCTTTTACGTCACACCTCATCCTTCTCGCACCAACTCCCTCGACAAACCTGCAGTAGAGCCAACAGAAGCAACATCAGCAGCAGCAGAAACAGTTCAAAGTACATGGGCATCTGGAGATGGAAATTGGGGTTACGACAATCAAGAACCGACATCTGCTACAGTCGAAGAACCTATAAAGGTTGAACGCACATGGGGCAAGAAAGAATTAATCGTACCTGATTCTTGGGCGCGTCGCCGACATCTTGGCATACCTTGGGCTGAAATTGCATAAGAAGTTGGATTCATCCAGCCTTTTGGCACCGGCCGCTGCGTTAACCCTGCGCCAACGATTCATCTTTCGTCGTCCTTCTTCCTTCACTCCGACTTGTACCTGCATTCAAAGGGACACAGGACTACAGCAGAAATGTGGCACAAGCGGTTAGGTCATCCCTCGCAAGAAGCTCTCAACAACTCCGTCAAAGCCTCGTTTTTTTCAAGGACGCACTCCTTTTAACCAACGGCCAAGAGCTTCGACCTAACAATCGTCAACTACCCTGCACCATCTGCCCTGGAGCTCATCTAAGTCACGCTCCACTCCCTTTCCACGTGCTAATAGTACTCACCTCTGGACGTCGTCTTCAGCGACATACTCTTCATGTCTCTGGAAGTAGAAGAGATCAGCGGCAACGACTATCGCTATATCATTACCTACATCGACGGTGCTACTCGATACGTCTGGCACAAGAATATCTCTCACAAGTCTGAAGCTCTTAACGCCTTCAAGCTATGGCTGAAAATCGCGGAGCGGCAGCGTGGCATCAAGCTGGAAGAAATCCAGACAGACAACGCGGGCCAGTACACCAACGAGCAGTTCGATGAATTCTTGGCATAGAAAAGGGATACTCAGGTGCAAGAATGTGCCATATGCTCATCAGCAGAATGGAGTAGCTGAGAGAACTAACAGGACGTTGCAAGAGAAGATGCGTGTCCTACTTCAACAGTCCAGCTTGACAGCAGAATTTTGGTCGTTTGCGATAGCGCAAGCTGTCTGCCTACACAACTGCCTGTCTTCAACAGCTCTTCCTCAGTTCAGCTCGCCACACATCATGTGGACAAAATACTCTGCCGACACTCGATTACTACGAGTTTGGGACTGCATGGTCCAATATAGACCTCCGAGCACACCTGTGGGCAGATTTACTGAACGGGCTCGATGGGGAATACACCTCGGTGTATCTAAAGATTCCTACTCCTGGATAATTATGGATTACAACCCAAAAGGTTTTGTATGCCCGAGATTGCATCTTCTACGAGAAACTGTTTCTTGATGACTTCGAACGCGACAAGGAACGCCGGCAGCGGGATCCTGGTCGCTACAGTGTCGAGCAGAGTTTCGCCACTCCTTAAGTCGAAGTAGATGCAGTGGAAGAATATTATCCGTCCGACAGCACAGCAGCAGGACCTTCTACAGTTCCGCAACAGTCTACGTCAGCAGCCGAACCACCACTGTTCAACTCATACATTCCTTTGACACGCGCTCTTCATTCCCCTCTCGGACCCGTTGCGTCCTGCCACGACATAGGCTGCCTATAATTATGAGGAGCACTTGCGCCGACAAAAAACTGACGCAGCATCCACGACGGTGCCCGCCATCTGCCATCCGGAATTGACGATGATGACGTCGTCGAAGTTTGCCAACCTCATCCTCGTGGTGACCAATCGGCTCTTCAAATCCTCAGAATTGCTGTCACAGTTCAGCAACCAACGACCGGGATCGAGCCGAAAACAGTCAAGCAAGCCCTCTCCAGCCCTAATGCTGACAAGTTACAAGCAGCAGAGGAAGCAGCTCTCGAGAGGCGGAAAACGTGGAAACTCGTTCCATGCGAAGCAGCACGCGGCAAGAAAAATCTTTCGGGCTAGTGGGTCTTTCGCATAAAGACAAATGAAGCAAGCGAACCAGAAATATTCAAAGGGAGATGGGTCGTTCGAGGTTTCAAACAAACCCACGGCATCGATTACGTCCAGACTTTCCGCTCCGGTCAGCCGTCATACCTCAGTGCGAATTCTTTTCGCCATTGCTGTCAGCCGCCACCTTCCACTTCGCCAACTGGATGTAAAAAATCCGTTTTTATGCGCAGACATCAATGCATATATTTTCGTCGAACTCCCTTACACTTACGGCGAAGGACTTCACGTCTGCAAATTACTGAAGTCACTCTACGGCATCAAACAGGCTCCTCGTCTGTGGCAGCAACATCTTCACAAGGTCCTGATTTCACTCGACTTCGTGTAGCTGCCCCACGATCCAAGGACATTACATTCTTCTAGTCGCCTTCATGGACGACTTACTGTACACCAGTTCGTGCAACAGTCTTCTGGTGCGCATGGAGAAAAGAATCCAAACGATTCTTGAAGTGACTATTTCTCCAAACGTCCCCCAATTTCTTGGGTTAAACGTCGACTGCGGTCCCGATGATATCCATCTTTCTGCAAGCAAATACGCAGAAACACTCTCAAAGAAGTTTGTCGTCGCTCCAATCGGCCTCACCACTCCATTTCGTCATATTCCAGCCGATCACACCCAATACTACCCCACTTTCCGCTTCCAATCATCAGCTTTACCAGCACCAGCTCGGGTGTCTTCTATTTGCAGCCTTTACATGCGGCCCAGATCTGGCCTACATCACAAGTCAACTCGCAATGTACCTGCGTCGACCTGAAGGGGGGAATATGGCCGATCTTCGTCGAGCCCTCCAATATTTCATTTCTACTCCTACAATCAGTCACAGCTACATGACAAATACTGCAGCGAATTTTCGACCGATTGGATACGTTGATGCGGATCATGTTGCTGACCCCGACAACAGGCGTTCGCATACTGGGTTCATTTTCAAACTTGAACCAGATGGTGTTATTTCCTGGAACTCAACAAAACAAGAGGTCATCGTACTTTCGTCAGCCGAAGCAGAATTCGTCACTGCAAGCTCTGCAGTTCACGAAGGACTCTATTTTCAAGAGTTATTTCAAGAGGCGAAAATTGCAACGACATGTAACTTCAAGTTACTCTGCGACAACCAACGTGCAATCATGATTGCAAACAAGCCCGGCTTCGTCAACAGGACAAAACTCGTCGCCCTCCGTTACTTCTTCATCAATGATGAAATCGACAAATGGAAGGTCATCCTGAAGTACTGCCCTATAGAAGAAATGGCAGCTGATTTCCTGACGAAGAAACTCCCACGCAGCAAGTTTCAATACTGCTCCAACTTTGTTGGAATCTGCAAACGATGGGACACTAACCCAGAGACATACACTCAGGAATGAAGGGGAGTGTTGAAGTATACTCGATAGAGTTTACTTATGCATTCCTGATATCATACTTAGACTAACTAGTAGCGCAATACCTCATATGGAATGACGCGCGTGATGATGTCAGAAGTAGCACGTCCATATAACAGTATGAGCCTTGTGTGTCTTTAATGTTATATTATACCTTTATTTTTGCTATTCAATTTTTTTTTTTTAAATAATTCACAATCCTTTTCTGGGAAAGGGGAAACATATCCGACCTAAGCATTAGAAGCCTATTTTGCAAGTTGGCTTGTTTTGTAATCTCCTATGATATAAGCCTCCATAAAGGGGTTCCCACGCTGTTACGTACGCGCGGGATACGCCCTTAGCGAGTCTCCGTGGTGATTCCCGATTTTGAATCTCGCGGAAACCATGTGTCATTCTGTCAGACAGCGCCTCCTGAATCGCACAACTGACCACTAAGATTGTTGATTTTTGGCGCTAATATCCAACTTTGAAGTGGCGAGCGGATATTCTCGTCATCCTATCTTTCCTGCGCCATATCTCCTCCTCGTCGTCCTACCTTCCGCTCATCCCCCATACCCCGCATCCCCAAGCCCCCCCAGCCCCCAGCCAACCCACCCCTCAGCCCCCAGCCCCCGCTGGTGGGACCACCCCAGTCAACACATCAGGGTGGTTGCTGAATCTGGAGGAAAGGGACTTGCAATCGTCGCCGGCCATGACGGCAGCAAAGCAAGCATCCAAGCTGGCTGCTTTTCTATTTCGTCTTCCCCTGTGTCTTCCTCATTCTTTATCACTACGCGTCACAACTAGCAAACACCATGCATGGATGTCGCTCGATTCTGAGGTTCTTTCTCGCTGCCCGTCCGTCCAGGCCCCTTTATTCTAGCCTGAGTCATCTCACCTACACCCAACCGAAAGAATCCCTAGACTAGGGTTGCGAATTCGTGGTCCACACCTACACGGTGACTTTGGAGGCTCACCAGGGTTTCTCCAAAAGAAAACCCCAGAAAAAGCTACCTGACATATTTTTGGATGGCAGCTGTTTTTGTTTTTCCTCTTCCCGAATCCTCTACATCCGCTGCCTGCGTGCTTGCAGGCCGCACTCAAACGTCGAAGTTCACCTGCCGTCAAGGCAAGGCTCGTTCTGCCAGATAAAGATACCGCACAGAAATTTTTCGCCGTCCGCTCGCCGCGGGAGCTAGTACAGAATTGGGCTTCCGCTTTCACTATTACTAAAGCTCATTGCAAAACTCCCAAGAAGCTCATTCCACCGCCCGGAAGCACTTATCTTCTCAAAAGGCTCGCACTCTCGCTGGGAAATCCTCCTTTCTTGCGGAAAGCTTTCACGCCAAAGGCTGTTGCGACAATGGCGTCGATCCATGCTGCCTCCGTGTCGCTCGCTCCGCTTGCTGGCCTCAGGAACCCATTGGATCGCCATCCCCGATGCAAGCCATCCCTCTCAAGGTAGTATAGCATTTTTCACTGTTAGCCGAATGAACACTGCACCAGCTAGGACAACCTGAGTTTGATTGTCAGTAGTCTTGAAAGTTGAAGCGTGGAGCTGTTGAACAGGTCTAGTGACAATTATCGGCCGTCGAAGCTTCAAGCTTCAAGTCGAAACGTTCTCTGTGCCTAGATCCCTTGGGTTCATATAACTCGTCCGTGGGTGCTATCATGATTTCGTTAGACTCCGATTCCAAAACGTCAAGCTTATGGTGGAGGGTAGTGCGTAGTAAACGCCGGTCTTAGGATTGCAGCCGGACTCGTTTGTAAAAAATGGGAACCTCCAACTGGCCGAAACCTTCTACTAGTAGAATCGGATTCTAGAACTACCTTTACCCTGGGTTCTACTAGTACTACTTGGCTCGGTCCAACTTCCTTTCGGTAGTGCTTGCCCGTTTGGCTGCCCGCATTGCGATTCTCTCTGACTCCGAGTCGGTCCATTCTCCGTTTCACACTGATTCTCTCCGGTGCAGCTTCTCTTCCGCCTTTGCCGGCCGCCTCCTCTCCGCCGCGCCCTCTGCGCCGCGCGGCGCTAGCCCCCCGTCAAGGCCGACTGCCCTCCGCGCCTCCGCCAGCAGCAGCGGGACAGGCGGCGCCGATCGCGGCGCATCAGGCGGCGGCGGCGCGTCGGTGCTAAAAGACGCGCTGACGATCTTCGGGCCGAAAAAAGCGGCGGCGGAGGGGAGCCCGCAGGCGCGGAAAGGGGAAGCCGCCACGACGGGAGTGACGGCGGGAGCAAAGGCGGGAGTTGCGGCGGGAATTGCGGCGGAAGGGGTGCCGTTCGATCTGCGGCTGGCTGTGCTGCTGGGAGGATTCGCGTTTGAGGCGTACTCGACTCCCACTGTAAGACGCGCGCGATCGGGGGCACACGACTCATGTGGGGAACTTGGGAGGGGGGGGGGAGAAGCGGACACGGGAGGAAGCGGGAAGGAAGGGAAGGGCGAAAGAGGGGCAGACTGAGGCAGGAAAGGAGGGCGGTGTGGACGAGGGGGGTGAGCGTTAGAGTCGACTTAAAGGTGTGGAAGAGGGGGGTGAGCGTTAGAGTCGACTTAAAGGTGTGAACGAGGGGGTGGCCTGTGTGCGCGGTGGCACGGGAATCAGATAAGGGAGGGAAGGGGAAGGTGATTGAATTCTAAGGCGCCTATTTTTTAGGCGCCTCAAAAATAGACTCCTCACGCAGGGAGGGAAGTGGAGGGGGATTGAATTCTGAGGCGCCTCAGTGAATGGGATTGCCAAGGGAAGGGGTAATTGAGCGCCATACCCCCCCCCCCCCCCCCCTCCCCCCTTCCCCCCCTCCCTTCTCCCACTCTCAAAACACACTGTCCGTGCCTTTTCTACCCTCCCTCTCCTCTTTGAACCCCCTCGACTCCGCCTAGGGAAGCGACAAGCTGCATTCTCTGCCGGCAATGCTCTGCTCTCTTCGCACGCCTCATTTTCGCCTCCACACTCTTCCGCCCTCATCCTCCCTATACCCTCGACGGAAGTGACAAGCTAGAGGACGTGGACGGCCGGCACTGGCTCTGCTCTGCTCTGCTCACAACGCCTCCTTTCCGCCCTCATTTTCCAATTCCCTTCCAGGGGAGCGATAAGCTATCGGACGTGGACAGCCGGCAGTGTTTTCTTACAGCTGGCCCGACTCTGTTTTCACCCCTTCAAATCCAACAGGAATGTCAATGGCAGTGCTCTGCTCTGCTCTGCTCTGCTCGGTTCTGCTCGGTTCTCTTCCCATCGCCTCGTTTTCCACTATATACTCTGCGTTCTCTTCCAGGGAAGCGATAAGCTGTCGGACATGGACAGCCGGCGACAGTGCTCTGCTCCCTTCACCTCAGAATCCCCCCCCACACTCAACCCACCACCCCCCTCCCATCCCTTGAATCCCATCCAGGGAAGCGACAAGCTATCAGACGTGGACGGCAGGCAGTGCTCTGCTCTCTTCACCTCCACGCCCTTTGCTCACGAGCTCTTCCAGGGGGTGGTGACTGTGCGGGGGCTCAAGGCCACGGTATGTCACTCGCCCACCCACTCGCTCCCTCCCTCACTCCTTCACTCACTCACTATATCTCGGACGCCCACTCGCCCACTCGCCCACCCACTCGCGCTCATTCACCCTCTTCACCTCCACGCCCTTCGCTCGCGAGCTCTTCCAGGGGGTGGTGACGAACAGTGTGTGGGCTCACGGCCACACTATGTGCTTCTGTTGCTTGCTCGTTGCCTCTCTACCTCACTGACCCCCTCATCTGCTCTCTTCACTTCACCTGCACGCCCGTCGCCCACGAGCTCTTCCAGGGGGTGGTGTATGAGCGAGAGCTGAGGGCCACGCCACGGTAGGTTCCTCACTCAAATTCTCATTCTCTGACTTCCTCCCTCACTCCCTCGGTCACCTCCACCTCCACGCCCTTTGATCACGAGCTCTTCCAGGGGGTGGTGTCTGTGCGTGGGCTGACGGCCACGGTACGTGCCCCTACTCATCCACGGCCGTGGCCACGGCACACAAGTACGCTCTGTCTTACCCCGCACTCATCCACGCGCACAAGTACGCTCTGTCTTACCCCGCACTCATCCACGCGCACAAGTACGCTCTGTCTTACCCCGCACTCATCCACGCGCACAAGTACGCTCTGTCTTACCCCGCACTCATCCACGCGCACAAGTACGCTCTGTCTTACCCCGCACTCATCCACGCGCACAAGTACGCTCTGTCTTACCCCGCACTCATCCACGCGCACAAGTACGCTCTGTCTTACCCCGCACTCATCCGCTCAACCACTGACCTCCTTCCTCACTCACTCCCCACCTCGCCTCCACTCCACGCCCCTCGCCCACGAGCTCTTCCTGGGGGTGGTGTCCGTGCATGGGTTGACAGCCATGGTACGTCCTTCTCCCAACCTTTTTCTGTCTTACTCCCTCGCTCACCTCCGCGCCCTTTGCTCGCGAGCTCTTCCAGGGGGTGGTGTCCGTGCGCGGGATGAAGGCCACGGTACGTTTCTCACTCACTATCTCATTCACTGACTCCCTTCGTCACTCCCTCTCTCACCTCCACGCCCTTCGCCCACGAGCTTCTCCAGGGGTAACTCACAGTGTATTTTTTTTATAGCATGCTTTGTGTATTTTATTATCATCCTTTGAAGGCCACTCAACCCTCGCACACACTCACAACCATGGTATGTATGTGGATATCTCAACCATGGTATGTATGTGGATATCTCAACCATGGTATGTATGTGGATATCTCAACCATGGTATGTATGTGGATATCTCAACCATGTTCTGTCGTGCTACCTCGCTCGCTCACTGAATTCCTTCCGCACTCCCTCCCGCACCTCGATCATCCGATCTCTGTCCCACGTCGTCACCACCCCCCTACTCCATTCCTCCTTTCCTCACCCCTAAGCCATCCCTCCCTCCCAACCAATGCTCCATACCCAGCCTATTCTTGAGGCGTCTAAGAAATAGTCTCTACTTATGCCTCGTTTTCACACCCCTAAGTCATCCCTCCCACGCAATGCCACATAACAAGCCCTCCCCGTGTGGCTTGCCCCTCTTCCCCCGACCTCCACGCTCTGCTGTATTCCCCTCGCCCCCCAACCATACTACCCCCGCCCTACTCTACTCCCCTCTCACCTATCCCTCCCACTCAATGCCACATACCGAGCCCTCCCCGTGTGGTGTGGCGTGCCCCTCTTCCCCCGACCTCCACGCTCTGCCGTATTCCCCTCACCCCCCAACCATACTACCCCCGCCCTACTCTACTCCCCTCTCACCCACACCCGCCACGCTCCGCCCCTCTTCCCTCAACACTCTGCCCTTCTTCCCTCGACCCTCCGCCCGTTGCCCCTACTACCCCCGCTCTACTCCCCTCTCACCCACACCCTTCACGCTCCAGGGGAGCATCAAGGCACGCCATGCTGAGCTGGCGCTGGTGACTACAGCAGGGAAGGCAGCCTCGTGGAATGGCGTCACTCGCACCACCAAGGCTAAAAAGTGAGCTGGCGCCGTTTTTTCCCCTCTCACATACTCACATGGGTTTAAAAAAACGGCGTTTTTTTCATTTTCAGGCCGTTTCCTACGGCACCGTATTTTTCAGCCGTTTTATTCGGTATAAAACGGTTGAAGATATCTGATTTTTTTTGGTAAAAAAAAATCGGCCGAATTTTTCCAAAAAAAGGTTCAAAATACTGGCGAAATGCGCGGATCTGGCATTTTTCCTGCCAAAATGTGTTGGATCCCGCGTTTTGGTGGACGAAATGCAGAGATCTGACATTTCGCCCACTAAAATGCGCGGATCTGGCATCTCCCCGCCAAAATGCGCGTGTCTCGCGTTTCGATGGACGGAATGAGCGGATCTGGGCAGACGTTTAGGCTTTCTTCGAATTTTTTTTATTTATTTTTTTCCGGAGTGTCCTATTAAAAATTCGGCATTTTTTCCCCAAAATCACCGAAAAAAACGATCGAATAAAACGGCCTGCCGAATTTTTCCACCTCACATGCTCGCATGCACACATATGTGCAAATACATGCACGCATGCTGCTCACATGCTCACATGCACAAGTCCACTTCCTCACATGCCCACATGCTCACATGCCCACAAGCCCACACGCTCACATGCTCACATGCTCACATGCCCACACGCTTACATGCACCCATGCACACATTCGTGCACGCATGCTCACATGCAACCCGGCCAATCGTTTTTACCCAACTGCACGCCCTCTCCCTCTTCCCTGATCCTCTGCAGCCCCAAAGTGACTTTTGAGTCGACTCAAAAGTCACCTTGCAGCCCCAACCAGCCGCTGAGGGACGAGCAGCTGCAGCTGCTACCTTTGGCTCATCCTCTTTATCCTCTCTCCCACCCCCACCCCAACCCCAGTCCACTCTCACGTCTCCCTCTCCTCCCCTCCCACTCTCCTCTCCTCTCCTCTCCTCTCCTCCCACTCTCCTCTCCTCTCCTCCCACTCTCCTCTCCTCTCCTCTCCTCCCACTCTCCTCTCCTCTCTTCCCACTCTCCTCTCCTCTCCTCTCCCTCTGCAGCCAAACCAGCCATTGTGAAACGAGCAGCTGCAGCTTCTGGTGGTGCTGGTACCCTCGTCCCTGCTTCTTTTCTCCCTCTCTCTCCACCCCCACCATTCCTTCCCCCCCCTTCCCCCAGCCTCCCCACTTCCCTTCAGCCCGAACCAGCCATCGTGGGACGAGCAGCTGCAGCTGCTGGTGGGGCCGTCAACTCTTCCTCGTGTCCCTTTCTCCCCTTCCACTCTCTCCTGGCTTCTCTTCCACCCCACCCTTCCTCCCCCCACCCTTCCTCCCCCCACCCTTCCTCCCCGCACCCTTCCTCCCCCCACCCTTCCTCCCCCCACCCTTCCTCCCCCCACCCTTCCTCCCCCCACCCTTCCTCCCCCCACCCTTCCTCTCCCCCCACTTCCTCCCCCCCCCCTTCCCTTCAGCCCGAGCCAGCCATCGTGGGACGAGCAGCTGCAGCTGCTGGTGCCTCGTAGTGCCATACCTGACACTAATCTTCAGGTAGCTGTGTACTTTCAGTTTCAGGTGATCCTCTGTTGCCCCCAGGTGGTACTCTGTTGTCCTCAGGTGCTTCTCTTCGCATGATGGTGATGCTGATGATGCTGATGCGATGTGGGCACGCACTGCATGTACTCTCCTTTCCCCAACAGCCTCATTGCCGGGTTTCTTGTTGCCCAGTCGAGAGCACACTTACGATGATGGTGACACAAACTATTTTTTAGGCGCCTCAAAAATGGTTTCTTGTTGCACAGTCGAGAGCACAGTGACGATGAGGGTGATGGTGATGCCAACTGCAAACTGAAGCGTGCTCTCTCCCCTTTCCTTCACCCCACAGGTCACCTTGCACAGCAGGGGTGAAACTGATGGCGGTGCTGGTCGTGGTGCTGATCATGGTGGTGAGACACTCACGCTGCATGCTATCCTCTTTCTGTCACCCCACAGATCACCTTGCACAGCAGGGATGACACTGACGATGATGATGAGGAGGAGGACGACTGTGTGGTTGGCACGGCCACCATTGCCCTCAGTGACTTGATCAAAGGTGATTAGTGAGTGTAGTGTGTGAAGGAGGGGTCTGTCTGTGTGTGTAGAGAGATGGGACGACACCGATGACGATGGCGATGAGGACAACTGTGTGGTTGGCTCTGCCACCATTGCTCTCGGTGACTTGATCAATCAGGAGTGGGTGTGTGCCAACCAGAGGTCAGTGTGTGCAGTGAAACGGGAGGACACTAGCGATGAGAAGAATTGCTCGGTTGGCACAGCCACCGTTGCTCTCAGTGGCTTGACCAAAGGTGAGGTGAGTGAGTTTGTGTTCGGTACATGTCATTCCATGCACACAGACCAGCATGCATGCAGAAGAGCATGGCAAGTTTTTGAGACGTTTCAAAAGTGTATAATCCGTGGTTGAAGTAGTTTAGTTTTGAGACGTCTCAAATAATTCAAATGCATGCAGACCAGCATGCACGCAGAAGAGCATGGCACGATTCGCAGATAACTGATGGCTCTACAATGAGCTGCATGGCTGGCAGAAACTCACGTGCTCTCCCCTTTCCGTCTTTTTTTGGTCGACTCAAAATACAACTCAAAGTACACTTTAATGAGCAGCACGGCTAGCAAAATCTCTTGTGCTCTCCTCTTTCCGTCTCCCCCTCCTCGCCCTCTCGTTCCCTCTCCCTCTCTTTCCCTACCATCTCTCTTTTATCCCCTAGCCCCCATTCACCACTGTTTCCATCTCCGCTTGCCTCCAGCCGTTTCCACACCACTCTCCCCACCTCTCCACCCCTCTGTGCCGATTCAGATACCCGGATTCGGGAAGTCGTAGGCAATGTGGCTCTTTTAGAGGCGCCTCAAAATATATCTCCGCTTGTCTCCAGCTGACCACACACCACTCTTCCCACCTCTCCACCCCTCTGTGCCGTTTCAGACACCCGGATTCGGGAAGTGGTAGGCAAGGTGACTCGAGACAGCAGGCAGACAGGCAGTGTGGCCATGGAGGTGGGTGTGGGGGGGAAAGAGGAGTGAGTGTGGGGGGTTGGAGGAGGTAGGCATGTGTAGGGGGAAGTGCATGCAAGGTGTTAGTCAATGTGACTCGAGACAGCAGGCAGACAGGCAGTGTGGCCATGGAGGTAGGCTTGGGTGGGTGGAAGCAGAGAGAGTGTGGGTGGGGAAGAGGAGTGCGTGTGGGGGGGGAGAGGTAGGCATGTGTAGGCAGGGGGATAAGTGCAGCAAGGAGGTAGGCAATATGACTCGAGATGGTAGGCAGGCAGGCAGTGGCCATGGAGGTATGCATGGGGAATGCATGGGGGATGCATGAAGGATGCATGGGGTATGCATAGGGTATGCGCATGGGGTATGCATGGGGGGGGATGCATGTATAAATGGTGATAGTTCGTGATGATGCTAGTCAAGGTGACTCAAGACGGCAGGCAAACTGGCAGAATGGCCATGGTGGTATGCCCCGTTGGGTATGCTAAAACCTCTATCATGTGCATCCTATCTACACGTTCATCCTGCACCGTTCATCCTGCACCGTTCATCCTGCACCGTTTATCCTGCACCGTTCATCCTGCACCATTCATCTTGCACCGTTCATCTTGCACCGTTCATCCTTCACCGTTCATCCTGCATGGTTAATCTTGCACCGTTCATGTTGCACAGTTTATCTTGCACCGTTCGCCTTACACCGTTAACCCTACACGTGCGCCTTTGACCCTTCACCTCTTACTACACGTCTTGGTTGCATCACTGGCAGGTGGACTATGTGAGCTTCTCAGGCCCAAGCGAAAGGTGGGTGAGTGGTAGAGTAGATAGGTGGGTGGGTGGGTGGGTGGGTGAGAGGCCGGTGGGTGAGAGTGAGTGAGAGCTGGGTAATAGAGGGAGGGGAAGGTAAGGCAGAGATGCAGAGACGCTGAGAGGTGTGTGGATGTACACACACCTCTCAGATGTACCTGCCTGCCGTTCTCTGCGTCTTCCTTTGATTCCTCACCTGCAGTCGCTTCCAAGGTCCCGTTTTTGAGTCGACTCAAACGCATCGTTAGTCTGCAATCACGGTTCAGGTTCAGAAACAGCTGCCCTCTCATCCATGAGACCCCTTTCATCTCTCTCTCTCTCCATGTTCTTCTCCCTCCCCACTCCCACCTCCCCCTCCCCTTCGTAATGCTGCTGTCTTGATGTCAAATCATGAAGTCCTCTCTCCCTTCATCCCTTTTGATCCCCTTCGTTTCCAGCTTCGAGCCCCTTCCCATTCTCCAGAGGGTTCTCAGCACCCCGCTTCCCAAATCGGCCTTCTCACCCGCTCCCATTCTGTCTCGAGGCAACACCACGAAGAACAACGCTAAGGCTGCTGCCACTGCCACTACAGCAGCACCAGCAGCAGCATCAGCAGCAGCCACAGAGGCGGAGGCGAAAGCAGAGGCGGAAGCAGCAGCCTACGGACTCTCGCTCCTCGACCAGCGGGCAGTTGAAGCTCTTTTTGCTCCGGGAGCCAATGCCGCGACGCTCGCTGCCTGGGAAAACCTTTCCCGGGCAGCTGCGGGCGAGCAGCCGGAGTTTTTCAAGTCGGCGTTTGAAAGCGTGTGTTTCCTGAGCAGCGGGGAGACGGACACTCAGGTGGGCGGGCGTGTGGGTGGGAGGACGTGAGATTTCCATGTGGGTGTGTGGGCATGTGCCGACTAAACATAGAGAGTACTGCAAAGATGAGGTGGCGTTTGAGGGCGTGTGCTTCCTGAGCAGCGGGGAGACAGACACTCAGGTGGGCAGGCAAGTGTGGAGGGATGCGGATGCGGGTTCAGCCATATCCTCCATGCTGTTTCGCCCCAATAGGTCGTTGAAACTGATCTGCTGAATGCATGCGTGGGGGTTCGAATGTTCAGGTGGGCGTGTGGAGGGATGCAAATCCGAGGAGAAAGCGGGTGGTGGTGGCGTTCCGAGGGACCGAGGTGGTCAACACTGACATGCTGAAAGACGGACAGGTGAGAACCGGGCAGGTGGGACTTGAATCAGCCACTCGCCTCTCCCCCATTCATTCCTCCGTTTATCAGCCGGTTCCAGCCGGTCTACGGCCATTTTGCATGGCCTTCGGCCTGCTCTCTCTTGCGGCGACTCAATAGCAGGCTCCGGTAATCAGCCACTTTCAGTCAATTTACAAAGCTTCGTTCCATCCGCTTTCTTCTCCTTCTCTCCCGCTCCTATGCCTTGTACACCTAGGGGCAGATCAGAAGTTCAAGGACACACTGGCAGTCGATCCACAAACCTTCCTTCCTTTTGCCTCCGTCTCCTCCGTCTCCTCCGTCTCCTCCGTCTCCTCCGTCTCCTCCGTCTCCTCCGTCTCCTCCGTCTCCTCCGTCTCCTCCGTCTCCTCCGTCTCCTCCGTCTCCTCCGTCTCCTCCGTCTCCTCCGTCTCCTCCGTCTCCTCCTCTCTTTCTCCCTCTCTGCCTCATCCACCTTCAGGCAGGACAGAAGTTTAAGGACGCGCTGACTGACCTGAGGTTACACAAGGAGAAGTGAGTGCGCACACACATTCCAATGCCCATGCACCATACTCACATGCCCCTGCACCATATTCACATTCACATGCCCATGCCCAGTGTATTAACTTCACTAATCTGTTGAGCACAAGGTCAAGCGTACACTGACAGACCTGAGGCTACACACGGAGAAGTGAGTGCTACTCAGCTCATGCGCCATACCTTCCCATTCGTTACCACAACTCATCGCACTCATAAACAAGGTCAAGCGTGCTCTGACAGACCTGAGGCTACACACGGAGAAGTGAGTGCGCACACACCGACCTGAGGCTACCGTGTTGCACTCACCGTGTTCTTAGCCACCATCATGTCCCATCATGTCCCATCACGTCCCGTCATGTCCCATCTTGTAGCCTTCATTTCCCTCAATTGGTCCTCTGTATTCCCTCCCCTCCCTGCACCTCAGTCTCCTCTTGATTCTCTCACCCTCCACTTTCTTCTCCTCTCCTCTCCCCCCATCCCCCTCGTCCTGTCCTCGTGGTAATCTCGCTCGGTATCCAACCCTCCCTACCTCCCCCTCCTCTCTCCCTTGCCCCTCTCTGTCCTTCCTTGCCGCCTCTCTGTCCTTCCTTGCCCCCTCTCTGTCCTTCCTTGCCCCCTCTCTGTCCTTCCGTGCCCCCTCTCTGTCCTTCCTTGCCCTCCCATTCCTCCTCCCCCCCTCCCCTTCCTTCCCCCCCCCATTCCCTCCCTCGCCCCTTTTCCTCCCGTGCAAAAGCTTTGACTCGGACCTTACTGACAGTGACAATATGATGGACATCAAGGTGGGGTGATGGCCTGCTGATGGGGAATCTAGCTCGCATCGCACTCCAACCCCTCCCTTGCCCCCTTCCCCCCCTCCCCCCTCTCCTCCCTTGCGACAGCTTTGACTCGGACTTGACTGACAGTGATGATAGGATGGACATCAAGGTAGGCTGGTAGCGTACTGACAGGTAATCTAGGAGCAAGCGGTCCTCATCACTCAAGCGGTCCTTATATTGCTTGAGCTGAGACTATATTTGAGGCACCTCAAAAATATTGCTGAATCCTGGGTCCTCATCCCTGCTCTCTCACAGCTCAAAATTATTCGCTGCAGCTCAAAATTCTCTGCTGTACGTTGTTGTGCGTCCAGCCTAACTAGAGCTAGCTGCTCCCTCATTCCTCAGGTGGTGCTTATATTGATGAAACCTAGGTCCTCATCCCTGCTCTCTCACAGCTCAAAATTATTTGCTGCACTTCAAAATTCTCTGCTGTACGTTCTTGTGCGTCCAGGCCAACCAGAGTTTGCTGCTCCCTCATCCCTACTCCTCCTAACTATGAGACCTCTGTCTGAAGACCACTTTTGAGGCGCCTTGATTTTCCAGGGTGTTTTTGAGAATTCTCAAAAACACCCTGCAAGACCACTTTTGAGGCGCCTCAAAAATCGTCTAACTATGAGACCTATGTCTGAAGACCACTCCGCAACCTCCTCTCGTCGCTTCCCCTCAACACCCCCCCCCCCCCCCCCCACCCCGATCCACCTCTCAGGTGCACGACGGCTTCCTGGACGGTTACAAGTCAGTCAAGCCTCGCTTCACTCTGCTGCTGGAGGCCATCCTTTGGCCCCCTTGTTACTACCTCCCCCCCCTCCCCCCCCTCCCCCCCCCCCTTCTTCTTTCTCATTGCCTTCTCGTGTCCCCCTTGGTCCGAACCCTCAGGTGCACGACGGCTTTCTGGACGGCTACAAGTCCGTCAAGCCTCGGCTCATTCTGCTGCTCAAAGCGATCCTCAGCGCTTCCAAGGAAAAGTGAGCAGGAGGGAGAAGTGAGCCTGAGGGAGAAGTGAGCCTGTCTGTTTATGAGTCTGATTGTGAGGCGCCTCAAGACAGTTTGCAGAAACTGCGAGCTTGTTTAACGTGCTGCTGCTGCTGGTGGTGCTGCTGCTGCTCAAAGCGATCCTCGGCTCTTCCAAGGAAAAGTGTGCCTGAAACCAGGTGACTTTTGAGTCGACTCAAAACGAGGTGACTTTTGAGTTGACTCAAAACGAGGTGACTTTTGAGTTGACTCAAAAGTCGCCTTAAAACCAATGTAGAGGGGGATTTTCTTCGTGGGAGGTGGTAGTGTAAATGCGGTAATGTGCTGCTACTACTAGCACATCCCCCCTACAGCACTCAGAAAATACCAGAGTATGTTGTGCTTCATGCGGCGACTTGGAGGGTTAATACCAGCGACTTTGGCAGTGATGATACAGCGACTTCACTGCAGACTGCTGCTGTGTCTGATGCTGTCGCGCTTCTATACTTGCCCTCTTTTACAAAGCACCGACTGCAGTCTTATAGTGTAGAATGCAGTCGTGCTTCTACACTTACGAAGACTGCAATTTATACGTTGTAATGCTGCAGCCCTCTTAAAAAGCACCGATTCTTGGGGGTACTTGTGCATCAACCCATCTCTACCAAGCAACACATACATGTCATGCCAACATGACGTCATGCCATTTATCCATCTTGCCATTCATGCCGACATGCTAGTACTCCATCATGCCATCGCCCCATCATGCCATCGCCCCATTTTTTTCCATCATGCCATCTCACCACCAGGTACCAAGTAATGGTCACGGGCCACAGTCTTGGGGGTGCCCTGTCTACGCTCTTCACATACGACCTGGCCCAGTCTGACCTGAAGAAGTGAGTGCGCGTATGTGTGCGCGCGTGTGTGTGTCTTACATCTGCTATCCCTGTACAGCTGTGAATAGAGATGACTTTTGAGTCGACTCAAAAGTCATCTTTCGTACTGCCGGCCCTGTCCCTGTACATCTGTGAATCTCTCTTTACTTGTTGTTCTGTAAACCTACCTGCCTTCTCTCGTTTTGAGGCACCTCAAAACAAGTTCTCGTTTTGAGGCACCTCAAAACAAGGAGGGACTCCTTTACTAGTTCTGTAAGTCTGCCGGCCTCCTCTCCGTGCTGTTGTCTACGGTTTCCCTGTCCCTGTACATCTGTGAATCTTTCTTTACTAGTTCTCTCCTAACCTCCTGTCTACCTTGTTCCCTCTCCCCCCTTGCATCTCCCATTCTACCACAGGCAATATAACTTTAATCTCTCACTCTACAACTTTGGCTCTCCCCGTGTGGGAAACCATGCCTTTGCTGCTCGCTTCAACCAGGTATGTCTAGATCATTTAGCCAATGGAAGCCATTGGAAAAAGGTACTTGAACGTCACGTGCTTTGTGTGAGTTTGTTTAGAAAATGCATTTACTCTGTGAGGGCTTAAGCTTCGGCAGTTTTTGCCAGACTAACCATCGTCTTTAATGTCGAGATATGTGCAATTTCAAGGTATCAAAAACACGTCTTGAGAATTCTAAAAACACCCTGCAAAATCATGGACATAGTGTCGTGCAGGCCGTAGCACTCCAGTCTCCCCTACCCCACACCACCCCACACCTCCCTTTACCAGCTGGTGGGGGACAGCTGGCGCATTGCAAACGACCTGGACATAGTGCCGCGCGTGCCATACGTTTTCTACAAGCACGTGGCCACAGGAGTGGTGCTTAGACCTGACTCCCAGAAGCTAGAAAAGGTCAGTGGGTTTGAGTGGGGTTGGGTGGGGTTGGGTGGGGTTGAGTGCTTGTGCCCCGAACTTCCCTTCCAAACTGTCGTGTCACACGCTCTTTATAAGCACGTGGCTCCTGGGGTGGTGCTTAGATCTGGCTCTCAGAAGTTGGAAAGGTTGAGTAGGGTTAGATCAGGTTGACTGTGTGCTGTACATCCTTAATAAGCACGAGGCTCCGGGGGGGTGCTTAGACCTGGCTTCGTTTTGAGTCGACTCAAAACGAAATTACTATCACCTGGCTCCCAGAGATTGGGAAAGGGTGGGTGGGGCTGAGTGAGCTGGAGTGGGTGTTTGCCACTGTGCTCTGTGTGCCCTACGTTCTTTACACTCGACAGCATATGAAATGTGACATGGGATGTGAAATGTAGTCTATCACTTACGCATCTCCTTGACTCTTTAACTTCAAATCACATTTTATGTAATGTTAAATATCTTAAGCTTTGTACTGTAGCCCTCATAACTCCGCCCAGTCTTCCCCTTTCCCCTCGCCCGACTTACAGGACGCTCTCCTTAAGAAGCGACTTGATTCCATCACAACAGTTAGCCTTCTGGTACCATCTTCTATAATCTGAACCCTTGATTTATTGACACTCTCACAGCACTTTTGTTCTGGTCTCTTTTTCTATTAATTGAAAAACCTTCTACCCACTCTAGCCACATGCCTCAATATTTTTATGCGCGTCGCAAATTGTGCCCCATATCAACCCACTCGTTTTGCCCCACAGAGCGAGCAGCCCAAGCTGCTGTTTGACGGTGCCGGGCCCCGCATGCACAGCCAGCCGGCATACTTCCTATCCCTGCTCAAGGTGCGTTGGTGGTGGTGCTGTGTCTCTGGCTCAAGGTGTATTAGACATACACGGTGCCAGCCCCCTCATGCACAACCAGCCGGCATGCTTCCTCTTCCTGCTCAAGGTACCGCTTTCGTTTCATTCAACTCAGAAGCACACTCAGGGTACCGTTTGTGCTCTTATGGTCTGCTGAACATGCCTAGTCGCCGCTCAAGCTGTTGTTTAGTGGTGCCGAACCCCGCATGCACTCCAGCCGGCATACTTCCTCTCCCTGCTCAAGGTGCGTTGGTGGTGGTGGATGCGCTGGCCTCTGCATGCTCTCTCTCGTCGCTCAAGGTGTATTAGACTTGCAGGATGCCGGCCCTCACATGCACTCGCAGCCGGCATACTTTTTCTCCCTGCTCACGGTACTTCCTGCTTGAGGTATCTTATTTGCTCAAGGCACTCCCTCTCCCTGCTAAACGTGTGTTCATAGTGCTGGTCTGAGTGTGTTAATGCTTGCTCTCCCTGCTCAAGGTACTTCCGGCTTGAGGTATCTTATTTTCTCCAGGCACTCCAAGGCACTCCCTCTCACTGCCAAACGTGTGCTAACAGTGCTGGTCTGAGTGTGCTGACACTTGCTCTCCCTGCTCGAGTTACTGTCTGTGCTCTTATCCTTGGCTCGGCATGCTCTCTCCTCGCCCGAGGTGTGTTTACTCGTGCTCGGCACGCTCTCTCTCCTCGCCCGAGGTGTGTTTACTCGTGCTCGGCATGCTCTCTCTCCTCGCCCGAGGTGTGTTTACTCGTGCTCGGCATGCTCTCTCTCTCCTCGCCCGAGGTGTGTTAACTCGTGCTCGGCATGCTCTCTCTCCTCGCCCGAGGTGTGTTTACTCGTGCTCGGCATGCTCTCTCCTCGCCTGAGGTGGGTTTAATTGGCTCTTGATGCAACTCACTCATCCTCATCCCTGCTTTGATCGCCCCAACGTCCCTTCTCCCACCCAGCAAGTGCGCTTCAGCCAGAGCAAGAAATGACTGCATGTATGACACCCTTGGCATACGATGCTATTTGTTAGGGTGCTTGGCTTGGTCCTATAGTGGATTGTATGACAGTTAAGGCTCGCTTGAATGAGGCACTATGACACTCATACATAATGTATTGTGCTACAATCTGTCTCCAACAAAATGTGCGTCATCCATGCAGATAACACCATTTCACACAACGCATACACTACATCTCACACCACTACCCACACCACACCACCCTGTAAACCAGTCCACCCCACAACTTTTATACCTCTCCATCTTCTTTTGGAGACTTCCCTAGCTTCGCAACAGGGCTCTCCCCCAAAATCGGAGTCATGTAAACAGCTCCCGCCCCCGCTCCAAACCCTAGAAGATTCTTGATCAATGGCTCAAGATCAGCCGTCCGATCAATCACAGGGAACACCCCAAACGCCAGAAGGAGCAGCAGCCACAGCGGGGAGAAAATAGCCACCCATTGCCAGGAAGCTTCCACTTGGCCTTGGGGTGGGAGGCGCGCAGAAAAGCCGAATACCGCACCTGCTGCCACGGAAACGCCGAGCGTGAGGAAGTAGAGGTCGTCTACCAGGCCTGGGACCTTGAGGCAGCCGTCAGGCTTGGCAAGGCAGGTTCGGATGGCGTCGACGGAGCGGGTGAGAGCTTCGGACTCGCCCTCTTGCCGAACGAAGAACTGATTGCCGTACCTGGTGTGGAGGTACGGGGATAGGTTCGGGCGCGAGGGCCGGATGAGTGAAAGGAGGGAGGAATTCCAAAAGAGCGGGGTGAAAGGAAAGCAGTGCGAGGGAAGAGGAAGGCCTCAAGAGGGTATGAATGTAGAAAGATGACTTGGCACGGCCAGCCGATGTTAGGGTCAAGTCAAGGGCGGGTCAGGGGGGGAAGGGCATGTGCACATGGTATATCATGAGACACACCTGGACTGCAGCTCCATAAAGAACTGGTACGGCAGCTTGGCGCGCACCGCCTCGCCGATGCTGAAATTGAGGATGTTGGGTGACGACACATCAGCGACAATGATGACCGTCCGATCCGACGGCTGTGATGGGGCACAGAGAAGAGCACAGAGAAATCGAAGGGGAAGTTGAGGATGTTGGCAGCTTGGCGCGCACCGCCTTGCCAAAGCAGAAATTGAGGGTGTTGAGCGATGCCACGTCAGCAATAATGATGGTTGTCAGATCCTACGGCTGCGACAGGCCACGCAGGTGAGAGCAACGAGGGGGGGAGTCATGAGGAAGAGATAGATAGGGATCTGAAACACTATCCCTATCTGAAACACTATCCCTATCTGAAACACTATCCCTATCTGAAACACTATCCCTATCTGAAACACTATCCCTATCTGAAACACTATCCCTATCTGAAACACTATCCCTATCTGAAACACTATCCCTATCTGAAACACTATCCCTATCTGAAACGCTATCCCTATCTGAAACACTATCCCTATCTGAAACACTATCCCTATCTGAAACACTATCCCTATCTGAAACACTATCCCTATCTGAAACACTATCCCTATCTGAAACACTATCCCTATCTGAAACACTATCCCTATCTGAAACGCTATCCCTATCTGAAACACTATCCCTATCTGAAACACTATCCCTATCTGAAACACTATCCCTATCTGAAACGCTATCCCTATCTGAAACACTATCCCTATCTGAAACACCCCTATCTCTGAGAATGCCTGTGAACAACGGCGATTTACAGGTTGATTCTAAATGGATGAGACAGCACGATCCCTGTGGATTGATGAATCTTGGATTGTTGAAAGTGATTCTCATCCCTCTCAGTTAAAGCCGTTGACCCCAATTGACCCACATTGGGTCAACGGCTTTAACCATATTTTTTCCCAACAAACTCCCACCCATCCAAACCGCTCTCAGCCCCGAATCGCGCCTTTACGCGGGTCGGCCACCCGTCCCTCGCCCCCACCCATTTCCCCCTCTCCGCCCTTCCTTCCACCCCTCTTCTCCCCCCCTTCCCCTCTCCCTTCCTTCCCCCCCTCCCCCCCCCCTTCCCCCCCAACACTCCCCTCCCCCACCCCTCTTTCTGTTTGTCTCACCTGCCACAAGTCGCGTATTTGCTTGCCATCCAAACCGCTCTCCGCCCCGTATCGCGTCGCCACGCGGATCCGCCACTCGTCCGTTGCTTCCAGCCCCGCCAGCTGTCGCTGCATCGCGGCGCGCTGGCTCTCCGTCAGCAGACGCGCTCCGTCAACCACCTTGGGAGCTCCGTCCACCACCTTGGGAGCTCCGTCCGCCACCGTGGGAGCTTCTGTTGGCGCCGCCGTGTCGCCCGCGGGGATTACAATCTCGGGGGAGAATAAAGGCCGCGGAGCTACTGCCACGTCAACTGCCACGTCAGCTGGCACGTCCGCGGCTATTGCGGGCGAGCCGCTGCTGAAGAGAAGCGCCGCGGCGATTGCGGCGGCGATCAAGGAGGCCCGGGTTGCGAAGAATATCCACTGCGCCGCGACGCTCAACTTGCTGACGTGGACTGCGGCGGTTGCTGCGGCGGTCGCTGCGGCGGTTGTTGCGGCCGCGGTCGCTGTGGCATTGCCGTCGATGATGCCCTCGCCGCCGCTGAAGAACATAAGTCCGTTGCTAGTGCTAGCGTAAGTACGAGTAGAAAAAGAGCGAGTGGTAGTACTACTAGTAGTATCCGGGGTCGTAGCAGCATCCGCGAATGACAACAACGGCGGAGCATCGAACGCGCTGGCGGCTGCCAGAGCACGCCGGGGCAAGAGGCGGAAAGAAGAAGATGGATGCGATGACGGTGCAAGGTGTGTTTTCAGTCGACTCAAAACGTCCGGCCGCGCAGTGCCACTACCACTGGCAGAGCGCAGCAACAGAGTGGATGTCCTCGCTTGGCCTGTCGCTGCCATGGTGCGACTCGCGACGAAACCCCGTAGATTTGGAAACTGTTAGCCCGGGCCGGTGGTCTCAGGCGATTAGGGACGATTACGCCCGCAAGCCTGACGGTTATGAGACGCCTCAAAACGATTACGCCCTGAAAGCTGACGGTTAAAGCGATTAACCGTGAAGCAAGCCGCTGGTCTCAGTCGAATATCGACGACTTTGCTGTCGACAAGAGGAGGCTAAGGCACTGGCGTTGATCCTGCTTTCGCGAATATTCTGGAGGCTGAGGCCGCGGCTTATGGAGCTGGTAGTGTCCGATACGACTCGTTTGATTCCCTCCCGAGTCCCGACACGTATAACGGTCCTCCTGAAAATAGAAACCCATTTTCGCGGCTGTTTGAAGCCGAAGGGACGCGAGAAAATTCTGCAGTGCAGCAGTGCGTAGCTACTGACGCCTATGATATTCTGATGCAGTGAGGCGAAGGGAACTAAGCATGGCTGGGCGGGAGACCGTGAATGACGGGGATTAGGAAGGGTCGCACGAAACACACCCCCGACCCGAGTGAGCAGGGAAGAGAAGGCTACCTCCTAGCAGTGCTGGTGTGTGCAACCTAGGGCGTGTTCCGTGACCTAGACGGGTTGTTTCAAACAGTCCCAACATTTTACTAAAATTCAAATCCGGTTGAGAAACCCAGGTTGACAAATCAGCAACTAAGCGTATGGAGAACGAAGGACCTCCTGTTACTGGAAATCCTGTTGCGAACAGCTTGTCGTTCACGAAATTGCGTGCGAAGGCTCACGGCTCATCGCACGAATGGGCGCACAGCATGGCGGGTGGCTCCACGTCATCCCTTCCTCACAACCATGCCATCAGAACAAGCCAGCGATGCTTCGGGGGGGAGGCCAAAAGAAGCCGTTGTAGACATACTCGCTAAAAAACACCAATTACTTACGTTTGCAGAAGCTTCACTTCCACTACTACCACTAAAAAAACGAGCTTGAAGCTCCAAAAAGGTTGAAATCAATGTAAGGACTGTTGGACTTATGTAGGCAAGCTAAAATCTCCCACTTTCCAGATTGCACTCATCATTCACATTCCAGCCTGGCTGACGCAACAGGAGCAGGCGGGCAGTGCGAATCGTCCAGCTGGTTTCGCATTTCTGGCCCCCTCTGGCCTCTCTGCCGCTGCTGCCCCTGCCCCTGCCTCTGCCCTTGCTCCTGCTCCTGCCCCTGCCCCTGCTCATGGGGAACGTCTCTGAACGAGTGAGACCTCCCCCTTGCCCTTTCATGTCCATGCGCCTGCTGCTGCTTTTGCTGCCCCTGCTGCTGCTGCTGCTGCTGCTGCTGCTGCTGCTGCTGCTGCTGCTGCTGCTGCTGCTGCTGCTGCTGTTGCTGCTGCTGCTGTGACCGACTATCACCATATTGCTGCTGTTGCTGTTGTGCCTGCTGCTGCTGCTGCTGCCGCCCATAATCAGCCCTTCTCCTCTCCCTTTCCTCCAAGCGAATCTCCTCCTCCCCTTCCCCTCCAACTCTCCCTCGTCCGCCTCCACTCCCTGACTCCCTCTCCCCTCTACCATCATGATAACCCTCCCCTCCGAGACTAGGCCTCCTCAAATGTGACTTTCTAGGCCGCCTCACCCCCTCCCTCCCGCTCTCCCTCCCGCCTCCCGCTGGCCAGGTATCCCCCACGGGCGGACCAATACATCCAGCCCCACCAATACCCCCAGCAATACCCCCAGAAATCGGGGGTAAATACAGCTCGTACCCGTGCCCGACACTCCTCGACCTCCGGTATGCCCCGTCTCCCAAACCTCCCCCGCCCCCCACGTCCGGCATAGCGGTGGAGGGTCGGCGCCGTGTCACCTCGGTTCGGTTCCGCCGAGCCAGCGGGCGTTCCGAGGAGAGACTTCGTCCGGGAGACTCGTCGTCAGCATCGACATCGTAATCCCCCCTGCTACCACCGTACCCACGCGAATGCTGTTGCTGGTGTTCTTCTATTGAAGCCTGCATTAAAGCCCTACCCACACCATGCTCGTCAACAGAAACAGTGCGACGATGGGGGATCGAGGGCCTATGGTGATGGTGACCTTGCGAGGAGTGAGGGGGGAGAAGCACAGCTGTTGAGGAGCGGGGCGGGCGGACGCGGGAGGAGGAAGAGGAGGAGGAGGTGGGGAGGGAGGGGCGGGGGGAGTGTGCTTGGCGGTCGGAAGAAAGAGGACTTCCGGGGTTGGGGGAGGAGGAGGAGGGGAAAGGGGGGAGGGTGGGGGCTTCAGGGGAGTTGGTCCCATTGAGAGTGCCGATCCCACTGAAGCTGCGACTCCTGGTGGTGTGGGCGAGGGGAATGGGATAGGGGGTTGTTGAAAAGGGAGTGAAGTGAAGGCAGCGTTGTTGAGAAGGGAGTGAAGTGAAGGCAGCGTTGTTGAAAAGGGAGTGAAGTGAAGGTAGGAAACGGCCGACGGGAGGAAGGCAAAGAATTGTCCTGTTGAGGTTGCCGATTCAACATAAGCTGCGATTCAGGGTGTGGGTGAGGGGAAGGAGAGCGGACTGAGGAGAAGGGGAGAGATAGGACTCAGGAGACGTGGGAATTGAGAAAGAAAGGAATGTCAGAATCGCGGGGGGCGGGGGGGAGGGGGAGGGGGAGGAGGGGGAAAGGAGGGGAACGTGAGGAATAGCCTAGGGGAGGGAAGGGATGTAGGAAATGAGGTGAGGGAAGGGATGCGGGGAATAAGGGAGGGGAGGAATGGGAGAAGTGGGGAGATGAAGGGATATTGGGAGTAGGGATGTGACGCTTGGTGGGAAAGATTTTTCGAGGGAGACACGGAAGGTGTTTTTGAGAATTCTCAAAAACACCCTGCAAAATAAAAGACACGGAAGGGCGGGGGCAGAAGGGGGGAAGATTACCTGGGAGCTGGGGTCAGAGTGAAAAAGCAACAGGGCCAGCTTTGGACCGACAGCTGTGATCTGAAAACAAATGTGTGACTGACCTGATTTCGTTCATGTATGATTAATCCAGCGTTTGATTCTTGCAGATGTTGAAGCAATATAATATGAGCGTTCCGTTCCACACCAGCTGGGACAGTGATACCAAATGTGGGACTGTTCTTGATGAATCTTGCGTTTGATTCTTGCAGATGTTTTAAGCAAATTAAATATAAACCTTCCGATTCAAACCAGCTTGATACCGGATGGTTGGGTCTTCCTTTAGTTGGAATTTTTGGTATAAGCTGGTGACCGCTAAGGGGCTGCGCCAAGGGGCTGTTCCTTTTGCCATACGTTTCCTCCCCAGTTTGTTTAGAACAGATGCGCATGGTAACAAGTGTGTCGAGGGTTTGTACGTTTCTGTGATTGATTTGGCCGTAACCTAATCATGTATGTAGCGTGGAGCTGCACTTTCAATCATTATCAACACTCACCTGAAGCCCCTTCGATGCTTCGATGACAGATCTTTCGTCGGAGTCAACTCCCGCTCGTCCTCCTTCCCCTCGCCATAGTCACCATCCTGCGCGATCGTCACTTCCCACGCACGAGCGCTGGCTTCTCCCTTTGTTCCCCGCACCACCCCGCTCCGCCGCCCGCTACCAAACTCTCCCGCGCCCCCGACTACCCCCGCCTGTGCCACAATTTCGAAGCTCCCCCCGTTCGCCCCTCGTCGCAGAACTTGCGCGCTCCTCTCCGCGTTTCCGCCACTTTCCGCGGGCCAACCTGCGCCTCCGCCAGCTCCGCTCGATTTACCACCAGCGCCGCCACCACCACTCCCGCCGCCGCCACCGCCGCCGCCGCCGCCGCCACCGCTGCTGGAACCAACACTGGCGCTCTTAAACGCCTCCCGAACGCGCCCTTGGCGGAACGCCGCTTCCTCTTCCGCGTCCTGCTGCTCCGCTTCCGCCACCGCTTCCCGGTGCCGATCGAACGAAAAGTACGCCACTTTCGGCGGCGCGGCCGGCGCCGCCGCTGCACGCGACGGCGCGCATATGGGGGACCTGGGACGCGCGAATGCGGGAGACCTAGGGCGGGCGGTAAGCGGAGAGCTGTTAGCAGCACTGCTTCCGCCGTTACCGCCACCGCCACCGCCGCCACCGCCGCTAGCGCTGCGCTGTTCTGCTCGATTCCCCGCGCTGGCGCTACTGGTGTCGCCGGCCGCTTCCCCCCGCACCCTTTCGCGGCTACCGCTCCGTGTCTTCCCCGCGCTGCCGCTGCGGGGGTCCTGCGGAGGCGAGTCCGCGCTGCCCCCGCGCGCGGAACCGGACGCCGCCCACTGCTGCTGCGACAGCTGAAGCTTGTTCTGCTGCTGCTGCTGCTGATACTGGTTAGCTTGCTGCGCCAGCTCGAGCGCAGCAGCGTCGGAGGTGCACACTGTTGCGGACCGGCGGAAAAAGTCGGGGAACGATTCTTCCCCGTCGTCCGCCGACGTGGATGCGGGAACAGCGCCGCCGGTGCTTCCGCCAGCGCTGCTTCCGCCCGTACTAGCGCCGCTACTAGCCCTGATCGTAGCGCGCGTGAATGTCGCGGAGCGCATCGGCGATGGCGCGTCGTCTTCCGCGAAGCTGCGGCGACGCTGATTGCTCCACACGCGAGCGGCTTGTCCGCCGCTTTTAATCACCTGCTCCAGAAACCGCTCCTTCTTCCCGCTTCCCCCCCCCTTGCTTTCCGCGACCCCTCCGCTGCCGCTTCCCCCGCCGCCGCTTCCCCCTGTTCCTCCGCCTCCGCCTCCGCCATCCCCCGATTCTTCCGCTCCGCGCGCGCCGTTCCGAAACGACCAGAGGCGCTGGAACTTTGACCCGTCCTTCCCCCCTCCGCCGCTGCCCCCCCCACTCGACGGGCGAGCGCTTCCCCCTCCAGCGGACTCCGTAACCGTCTTCGTCCTGACGAAATTTGCGAAATTTCGCAAGTCGGTTTCGCTGACCTTGGACGAGGTTCCCCCCGGGCGCGCGTGCAGCGGGGAAGTACTGCTGCGCGATCGGGGGACAATGTCGTGCTGGGGGGGGACGGAGAGCGGAGTTTCGTCCGCCAGCGTCTCCCACGCTTCGTCTAGCAATTGCCCCGAGTCCTTCCGGTGGTGCCCGCCGGCTGTAGCGCCGTCTCCATCCCCGTTAAAGTAGTGTCTAGAAACGGGGCTGCTGAGCGGGCTGTAGCTTAGCGGGCTGTAGCACTCATCTCGACCGGCCATGGATGAGGTTGGAGAATGAGTTTATTCAGGGACAGTAGTGAACTATACCGAAACGCCTATGGGTACTAAGCAGAAGTAGCAGCGGGTCAGCGAGAACGGGGCTGTGCTGACCCTACTAATTCGTTATTCTCGTCAGTGGCTTAGAACATTTGCGCTTATTGTTGAAATATGAGAATGGCACTGAATGTTTCCACAACCCATCACCGTCATTGGCACGAACGAGCACCTTACGCGCAGTAAGCGCTAGATTGGCTCAACGACTGCTGCTGGGTGCTGGGTATTCCAAGATTCTACTGGGTTGCTGGAATCGACTCTTCGCGAACTGCCATTCTGGCTGATTAACTACGCTCTGGAGGGAGGACTAGGGTAAACCATCTCTCATCAGCCTAAACCAGCAGCAACTGGGACTTCAGTTTTTTTCTCATGACAGTAATATGGCAGTGAGAGTGCAGGCGGTAGTTGGTGCAATGGCGCGGGCTTAGCGGAAGTTGGTGTGGTGTGTGGTGTCGACGACACTCGCCAAGATGCAGTAACACCGTCGCGAAGTCTTCCGAGAAAAGGTTACAACTTTCCATGGCTACGTGTACCTGAGAGCCCCCTTCACCTGTGGTGGACAGTGCTCCGAATCAGATCACTGCTGCACGAGCCAACCAGCCCACTAAACCCAGCCACCCTGCCCTTCCCTTTCTTCCAACAGCAAAACTGACCCCACTGGCCACCAGTTGTCCACGATACGTACGAGATTCCGACCGACCTGGCCAGTCGTACTGGTTCGGTGGAAGTAATCACAAGAACAAGAAAAAATAACTGAGCTTGAGGCCATGAGCTTACGGGCTCCCTAAAACCCACGACCCAGTTCGAAACGAGAGAATCAAAAAGTTTTACCCCCTGATATTTCCAAATACGAAGCGAACAACACACTGCAGGCGAGGAACAGAAGAACGTTACACCCACTTGACTGATTGCGATCCCTGCCTGGGTTTCGCCTGAGCGATTGGAGGGATGCTGTCGCATAGCTCCGAGCGACGGAACCTGCTGGGTGGTGGTCGTAGCTGGCAGGGGTTTGTCGTCTCCTGCCACTCTATCCCTTCAGAACGTGTCCAAAGTGTTCTGACAGCGGATGACAGCGGATGACAGAACGAGTCTCGTCCGTTGATGTCCGTACGGAAGGATGACAACGGCTACGATTCATTCTGTCATCGGATGGCACCGGATGACAGAACTGCACTTTGAACAAGCTCTCAGCTGACACCAAAGACGTCCAAACACGCGGAGACAACGCAACACTAGTGAACAAATTTTGTTTAGACTTCTCCTCAATCCCATTAAAAGTTTCACATGGGCTGGATGCTTAATGATGCTGGGGTTGTTTCCTATACTCATGAAAACAAACATGGAAAACAGGTAAACTCATCAGCAGCATGATCAGTAGCAATACCACTACCTTGGCTACGGGCATCATAAGCACAATATGAGCACCAGAAGCATCGACACCATCAGCGTCGCCTCGCCATCATAACCGGCAGCAGCCGCAGCAGCAGCATCAACAGCAGACAGCCAAACCACCACAACCTGCATCATGTCACCATCGTCACCCTCCCTCAGCAGCCGCAGAGACCACACGAGCGAGCCACGTTAGGCTTGACGAGCCCTGCCGCTGCCTCTGCAGCCAAATACCAGAACCAACCTGGTCGTTGTTCAGTAGGCCGTCTACACCATAACCACCAGCTGCAGCAGCGGCAGCAGCAAAACGACCTCGACCACCATCAGCACTAGCGAGCCGGGTGAGGCTTGACGATCCCTGCTGCTGCCTCTGCGGCCAAATACACCTGGTCCTTGTTGAGAAGCTCGTCAGCTTGCTCCTGGGGGGGGGGAAGGGGAAGGTGGGGGGAGGGGGGAAGAGAGATGTGAAGGGTGGACAAAAAGGTAGGGAGTAGTGAGGGAGAGAACTGTAAGAGAGAAGGGAGCCTAACAACGGGAAAAATTGACTTGTGAACAATTAAGGCAGGTAGGACAAAATCCCGAGCAGTACCTGCACTTTTACGCACAAGGGTAAATCACCTGTTACCTGTGCGGAGGGTAAATTACGTGTTACCTGTGCGGAGGGTAAATTACCTGTAGTCTGTGCAGTAGGTACATGAGAAAGAGATGAACAAAGACCTGCAATGGTTATGTATGCGATAATGATGATGATGGTGATGGTGATGGTGACGATGACGATGACGATGACGATGACGATGACGATGACGATGACGATGACGATGACGATGACGATGACGATGACGATGACGATGACGATGACGATGACGGTGACGGTGACGGTGAGGGTGAGGGTGAGGGTGAGGGTGAGGGTGAGGGTGAGGGTGAGGGTGAGGGTGAGGGTGAGGGTGAGGGTGAGGGTGAGGGTGAGGGTGAGGGTGAGGGTGATGGTGATGGTGATGGTGATGGTGATGGTGATGGTGATGGTGATGATGATGATGATGATGATGATGATGATGATGATGATGATGATGATGATGATGATGATGATGATGATGATGATGATGATGATGATGATGATGATGATGATGATGATGATGATGATGATGATGATGATGATGATGATGATGATGATGATGATGATGATGATGATGATGATGATGATGATGATGATGATGATGATGATGATGATGATGATGATGATGATGATGATGGTGATGGTGATGGTGATGGTGATGGTGATGGTGATGGTGATGGTGGCAGAATGAGACAGTGCAAGAAAGAGGGAAAACGGGTTGGAATTAGGCAGCATGTGAGGCTGGACCTAAGGAGAGGGTGGCTCATCAGTGAGCGATTCATAAGATGCCCGTAAGAAGCAGTTTTGAGGCGCCTCAAAACGATTCATAAGATGCCCCTAAAAAGCAGTTTTGAGGTGCCTCAAAACGATTCATAAGATGCCTCTAAAAAGCACATGTGTTCATGGAAATGCCAAGCGCCAGGACTGAGGCACCAAGTGTGCTTTTAATGAAATTAATAAGTTAGCTAATATTAGGAGAGTGGTAAAAGAAGAGCAGTTACCAGGTAGCAAACCAGTCCAAGACGGGCCAGTGGGCGGCGCCAGAAGAATCGGCCGGCAGTCACTGTGCCATGATCTATGAGCTTGGCTGCTTGCTGCGGGGCGCAAAGAAAAGGATGGGGAAAGGGCGCAGGGGGGGTTGGTTGGGGGCAGGGTGGGGATGGTAAGAGTCTGCCCAGAAGAACTGGCCAGCTGTCATCGTTTGCATCCATGCATGACCTATGAGCTTGGCTGCTTGCTGGGGGTTGAGCATAGGAAAATGGCTGGGGAAGGCAAGGAGGATTGTGCGAAAGGGATGGGAAAAGAAAGCAGGTGGCCATTCCTCCGTGATGGATGAGGTTGGCTCAAGAAGGTGCAAGAGCAGGGCAGAATCAGCTTTTGAGTCGACTCAAAAAGAAAGCAGGCGACCATTGCTCTGTGATGGATGAGGTTGGCTGTTCAAGGAGTAAGCTTTTGAGTCGACTCAAAAGCTTGCTCTGTGATGGATAAGGCTGCCTTCTCAAGAAGATGCAAGAGCAGAGAGGAATCAGACGAGAAAGCTAAGGCACGTCGTGCAAATGAGAATTACCAAACTTCGGAACCTTGAAAGGGGACATCGAAAAACACTAACAGGAAACGAAGTGCCTGCCAGCATTGAAGTACCTGAATTCGCTTCATTACCGGTAACAAGGTAGCACATAGATCGACTTTTTATTCAAAATACGCCTACCAGCATTGAAGTACCTGGATTCGCTTGCCAATGAAGCGTCGGTTAGGCAAGCCAACGGCCCTGTGGGAGGTGAGAGGAGGTGAGAGGAGGTGAGAAGAGGTGAAGAGGTGAGAAGAGGTGAAACTATTAGAAGGGAAGGTAGAGCAGGAGGCCTGATGCTGTTGTACAACGTGTGAAAAAAGAGAAGAGAAAAAGGGGATTTCTCGCTCAACATCCAGCACTGCTACACCCAGCACTGCTACACCCAGCACTGCTACACCCAGCACTGCTACACCCAGCACTGCTACACCCAGCACTGCTACACCCAGCACTGCTATGCCCACGGAGCGCCACTCACTCCATCGGCTGCATCTCGCTGTGCTCCTCCTCAGCTGCTTTGTGCCTCCTGCAAGCCACTCATCCCCCCTGGATTAACACTATAACCAACGCTATGCCCAGTGCCACTCACTCTAAGGGCTGCATCTCGTTGTCCTCCTCCTCACCCACCGCCAGCATCGACCTGCGCCCTGCCCTGTCCCTCTCCACCTGTCCCCCAGCGTGATACCCAGCGTGATACACAGCACAGTACCCTGCACAGAACCCAGCACATTGCCAGCACTCTACTCACTCCAGCGGCTGCATCTCGCTGTCCTCCTCTTCACCCGCCACCAGCATCGACCTGCGCGCTGCTCTGTCCCTCTCCACCTGCGCCTGGGGGGGGGAGAAGAGAGGGGGGTTAAGGCGAGAGCAGGGAGAAGGGGGGGAAAGGGGAGAGAAGAGAAGGAGAGGAAGGCATAGAGGCAGGGGGGGAGGGAGTTAGGGATGGCATAGCATTGACCTGCGAGCTGGCCTGTCCCGACCCACCTGCGGCTGGGGGGAAACGGGAGGGAAGGGGCGCGAAGGGGGGGGATACGGGATGGGATGGGTGCGAGTCGGGGGACGGACGCATTTGTAACGGGGGCCATTCATTCACTACCAGCATTGACCTGCATGCTGCCCTGTCCTGCTCCACCTGCGTCTGGGGGGGGAAGAGGAGGGGGGAAGAGAGAGACAGGATGGAGAGGGGAAAGGGGATGGAGAACAGAGCTTGTGTGAAGTATCTCGGATCATACTTGTTGCCGTTGACTGTAGTAGCGTAGTAAGATACATGGTTTTAGCATAGGAGAAATTGATTTCGCGCATTTTTCTAGGCGCCTGAAAAGCCAGTTGTGTGGCCCTGCAAGCAGTTGTCTTCGCCTACCTTTGCACAGCAAGTAAAAAAAAGGATTTCAAACGAGCATCAATCTTAGCGAGCTGTTGCATGCATGCACCAACCGTACAACTATGCTTTGAGGCGTCTCAGAATACCTTAGTCAGCTTTAGCTCTCTTCTTTCCTTCTCGAGTTGCAGCAGAGCCGCTTGCCTCTCGCTGGTCATAGTTTCCAGTTGGCTCTGTTTCAGGCACTGGGAAGTGGGGAGAGGGGAGGCGAGGGGAGAGGGGAGGCAAGCAAGGAGGCAAGGGAGAGAGAGGAGGGGCAGGGAGGAGGGAACGGGCTAGTGAGTCACTGCATGGCTGTGTGTCTCACTCGTTATTGTCTCAGGCACTGACTGAGGAGAGGAGAGAAGGGAAGGGAGGTTGGAGAGGGAGAGGTTGGGCAGGAGGAGAGTGGGGAAGAGCCACCAGCCACTCACGCGTCATTGTCTCCCCCACTGATCCGCTTTAGACACAGGGGAGAGTGGAGAGGGCAGGGGAGAGGGAATGGAGTAATGGGCCATTGTGTGTCTCCAGTAGACATGAGCAAAACCGGGTAATTACCCGACCCGAATGGGTTTTGCCCTACCCGGGGTCGGGTCCGGGTCGGGTCAGGTCGGGCAGTTTCCGGGTAATCTCTGGAGGTCTATTACCTGACCCGGCTTTTTCATACCGGGTAATTGGGTACCCATGTGGCAGGTCGGGTTTAATTGAAGTCAGGTATTATTACCTGGGCACCCCTAGAGGCTAGATGGCTGTAAAGTCACCATTAAATGCAACTTTTTGGTAGAACCTGCTAAGAATGTGTCTCAAAGTCCTGTCACTGCAATTTTGTGTTTTAGGGGAATGATGCAAGTCTTTTGGGCGTGGCAGCAAAAAAAGCCACCGAGTGGCCCTTTGCTACTCCCTTCCAAGATATTTCCTTAAAACTAGGAGCGGTTTGTAGTAGGCCAGATCTGGAATGCTCCTACGTGTATCTGAGGGTAGGCTTAGGTAGATCGCAACAGCGAAATAAAAAAATCGCTGGAAATTTTGACCTTATGGTCGAACCAGCGCGGAAAATGTCGCGCTCGTTTCCGTCGGGCAATTGCCCGACCCGGAATCGGGTCGGGTACCCGCCGCGACCCGATGGGTAACGAATTACCAGACCTTTCGGGTGATTCTCGGGTACCGGGTATGCATTACCCGGCCAAAGTACCCGACCCGACCCGGCTGGGTCATACATAAGAATCCTATTACCCGACCCGGCCAAAATGTCGGATCGGGTCGGGTATCCGCAGCCCGACCGGGTAAAATGCTCAAGTCTAGTCTCCAGATGTGTTCGGCTTTCGAAAGGGTTTCCCTAACTAATCAGCAGCACTAGTAATGCTCAAGAAGCTCTGGTTCTTGACTGATTTCACAAGCATTTCGGATCTCTTAACTGATGTTACAGCTCCAGCTCCTGCAGAGGCTAATCTTTCTACAGGCATCTTCACAAGGCATTTGGTGAATCAGCGCTGCTGCTTCCGCAGGGTGTTTTCGAGAATTCAAGAAAACGCACTGCTGCTTGTGCAGGGTGTTTTTGAGAATTCTACAAAACGCACTGCTGCTTCCACAGAACTTGCCCCCCCCAACAGTTAGCCTTAATCCTTCTAAGACAGCCACTCGCTAATCAAACCGCCACTCACCAGCAGATCTGTCAGTTCCCTGAACCGCTTCTCCATCTCTGCATTGGCCTGAAAGAGGGGCTCACACGAACAAAGATGCAAGTATTTGAAGAGGGGAATCAAGGGAATAGGCACAGCAAGGTAAGTCACAGATGGAAGAATTCCAAGAGCACATGTTGATGAAAAGGGTGGTCATTACAATCTGGAGTGTCAGGGTAAACACGAGTGGCTTTTGAGGTGGCAAAATGGGCTTATTGAGGTGGCAAGATGGGTAAATAGCTTGTAGACATGGGCAAAAAAAATCTCATCGCATCGCATTTAATCGTGTCTTTGCGATTGTTGTTGTTGTTGTTGTTGTTTTTTTTTTTTTTTTTTTTAATCATCGCGCGCGATGTCACACTGAAACCAACTCTGAAACCCACTACGAAACCACACTATTTATTTGCACTCTAGCTTACGACTGCCCGTGTTTCCCGGCAGCCATGGTTTTTTTCCTGGTTTTTTAGGGTGTTCTTTCATTCTGTTTTAAAACGCGATGCGATTTTAAATCGCATCACGCGATTTAATCAAATACCGCATGCGCTTTTAATATTCATCGCGCGCAGAATGCGATGCGCGGTTTTTTTTTTCAAAAATTAAATTGCGCGATGCGATTTTAAATCGCATCGCACTTAATTAAATCGCACCCCAATGCGATGCGATTTAAATGGCAATCACATTTTGCCCATGTTTAATAGCTTGCCTATTTACACGATGAGGTGGCAAGATGAGGTGGCAAGATGTGTAAATATCTTGCCTATTTACAAGATGAGGTGGCAAGATGGGCTTCAAAGGAAGGGTTAAGTGTGAAGATGGACCCAGTCTTGAGAATCCCAGAGTCCAGCGCTATATGAGATTTGAAGTCAATCTCTAGCTACCCTTAATAGTGCCTCTACTCCAAGGCTGCACCAGATACCTGTAACGAGGATGAATCTGCATCCCTCTTGTGTGCCTCCACCTCCACTCTCAGCTTCTGCACCTCTGCCTGGGGGTTTAAACGGGGGAGTCCAGGTGAACGGGGGATAAGACAAGAAAGGAGTGACTTAAACGGATATGGCATGTGCTTGTAACAAGGATGCATTCCTGTCACTCTTGTGTGCCTCCACCTCCACTCTCAGCTTCTGCACCTCTGCCTGCCCGTGGGGGAGTGGGCAGGAGGGGGGAGTGGGCGAGGGGGGGAATGGGTGAGAGGGGGAGTGGGCGATAGGTTGAGTGGGCGATAGGGTGAGTGGGCAAGGGGGGAGTGGGCGAGGGGGGAGTGGGCGAGGGGGGGAGTGGGCGAGGGGGGGAGTGGGCGAGGGGGTGACTCAAAAATCACCAGGGGGTGAGGGTGGGGGATAAGATAGGAGTGATTGGCCTTCACGGGTATGGCACATGCCTTCGTACTGGGCATAGTGGAGTCATTTTTAGAAATCTCCTTTAAAGAAATCTAATTTTTGAAAATTATTTTCAGAACTCTCATTTTGAGAAATTTCGTTTTTGGTATGGCACATGCCCTCGCACTGGGCATGCATCCCTGCCCCACTTGCCCTGCATCCTTGTCTCCTGCACCTCTGCGAATAAACCTCTACAGGTGTCATCTCCCTGTTGCTGCCACGTATTGACACCATGGCACCTATTTGGTGTTCTGTTGGACTCTTGAGTGCGTGCACTTGCCTCCTTGTCTCCTGCAGGCTGCACCTCTGCCTGTACACTTTTTAGGCGCCTAAAAAATAGGCACTTTTTAGGCCCCTCAAAATTAGACTCTTAGCTCCTCCTGCACCTCTGCCTGATCGGGTAAAACAACAGGGGTGAGTGATAAACCAAGGACCTCACACATCCAACTCACATTTCCCCCTCACACTATCCCACTCACATTTCCCCCTCACACAACCCCCTCACACAACCCCCTCACACAACCCCCTCACACATCCCCCTCACACAGCCCCCTCACACAACACCCTCACACAACCCCCTCACACAACCCCCTCACACATCCCCCTCACACAACCGCCTCACACAACCCCCTCACACAACCCCCTCACACATCCCCCTCACACATCCCCCTCACACAACCCCCTCACACATCCCCCTCACACATCCCCCTCGCACATCCCCCTCACACATCCCCCTCGCACATCCCCCTCACACATCCCCCTCGCACATCCCCAACACCATCCTCTCCTCACATCCCCTCACGCCCCCCCATTCACACCTATCCCTCTCTCGTCCTCTCCCTCACACCTCGTCCTCTTCCTCCCACCCATTCCTCCCACCACTCACCTCACTGCTTGCCAGTTTGCCCTCTGCGTCTCGAAGCAGCTGCCTCGCGCGCTCTGACTCCTCCTTCCATGCCTGCACCTACCAGCACGCAAGGGTAGTCGGGGAGGGTGGGTCGGGGAGGGTGGGAGTGGGGGGGCATTGCACTACACGTTAGCTTCCCTCTGCCTCCGCCTCTCAAGGCAGCTGCCTCGTGCGCTCTGACTCCTCCTTCCATGCCTGCACCTGCCAGCACGCAAGGGGGGAAAGGAAGGTCACCGTGCCATTTATGTGAGCTCCTCTCTGCGTCGCGCAACAGCTGCCTCGCGCACTCTGAATCCTCCTTCCCTGCCTGCACCTGTCAGGAATCAGGGGTGAAAGCGGGGGGATAGGGGGGTTAGCGGGAGGACGGGGGGTAGGGGGGATCAGGGGGAAGTGGGGGGGACGGGGGGAAGAGGGGGGGGAGGCGTGGTTGTGGGTAGACATGGGCATGAGCCGAGCCTGGCTCGGCTCGCCTCGAGCCGGGTCCTCAGGATCCCCGGCTCGGCTCGTGAAAATGGGGTCGAACCGGGGCCGGCTCGGCTCGGCTCGTCAGGGGGGCTTGTGCGGGCTCTCAATTGGGGCCACGGGGTTTGGGGTCTCTAGTATAGGGGACAATCCATATTATTAGCTGATCGTCTGCTCCTACATCTTACAAAACTATCAGGAGGAGCTGCCGGTTTAAATATGGCTGGCTGAGGTCGATAGACTAGCGCGACAGCTTGAGGTTAGGGTTGGCAGACAATATTGGCTGGGGGGGGTTGTCGATCTGAAATTTGACAGTCGCGAAACCCCCCTTTCCCTAGCCGCGAGCCGGCTGGCTCGAAATCGAGCCAGCTCGAGCCGGCTCGACTCCGGCTCGCTTGATTTCACGTGCGCGAGCCGAGCCGAGCCGCCAGCTCGGCTCGAGTCGAGCCGGGTACCAAAAAAGAAGGCTCGGCTCGCCTTAAAGGCGAGCCGAGCCGAGCCGAGCCAGGTGTGGCTCGGCTTGTGCCCATGTCTAGTTGTGGGGGAGGTTCCAACCAAAAACCGGAGAGGAGTTGGGGAGCAAGCGTTGCATTGCATGCAAACTTCGTCCTGCGTCTCGTCTCAAACCATCCGTCTTGCTCGCTCTGCCTCCTCTTCCCATGAATTCCGCACACGGGGCACAGTCACTTGGCACAGGCGTCCATATGCATTCCGCACATGGGGCACTCTGTATGTTCCCACACAAGCGCACACATGCACAGGCACACCCTTTCATATGGCAACCAACCAACCGACCAACCAGCCGACAACCAACCAACCAACCAACCAACCAACCAACAACCAACCGGCCAGCCAACCAACCAACCAGCCAACCAACCAACCAGCCAACCAGCCAACCAACCAACCAACCAGCCAACCAGCCAACCGACCAACCAACCAACCAACCAACATGTGCGAGCGTGGAGGGGCCATGCACGGTGACTGGGGGTTTGAGGTCCCTCTTTGCCTTGTCTTCATGTGCTTGCTTATAGCTCACTATTGAGCTACACACCTACCTACCAAGTATCCAGACATACACACACATGTAACCAAACATAAACACGCACATGCGTCCAAACCAACCTGGGCGAGCGTGGAGGGGTCGTCTGCTGTGACTGGTCGTTTGAGGTCCCTCTTTGCCTTATCCTCGTGCGCTTGTAGCTCACCGTTGAGACTGCTGCACTCCATCTGTTACAGGGTTACCATGCATACACGCAGGTACATTCATACATGCGTATGCATTTCCATATGCATATGCGAGCACAAGCAAAGCATGCATGCATAGACAGTCAGAGCCGTTTGGGTGCATAAAGAGCTATTGCGCATAACGAGCACGGGCCATGTGTCTGTCTAACTCTTTATGCACACATGGGCCGTGGCCTCATGATGCACGTATGCAGGAGAATGTGCAGCTATGGTCTGCTATGGTATGCTATGGTATGCTATGGTATGCTATGGTATGCTATGGTATGCTATGGTATGCTATGGTATGCTATGGTATGCTATGGTATGCTATGGTATGCTATGGTATGGCGATGGTATGCTATGGTATGCTAGAGTAGAGTGTGACAAAATATTGATATGTATGACACCGAGTGACACCGAGTGACACCGAATGACACCGAATGACATGATCCATCCATTGTGATGCGTTACGACATCGTGCCATGCTTATATCATTCTACGCTCTCACCTCAAGCACCGATATTTTTTCTTCCAAGGAGGAGACTCGCTGCGATCGCTCCTCCACCATCCTCTGCATGCGCGACAGCGCAGCCACCCCTTCCGACACCTGCTGCTCCAACTCCAGCTCGCGCGCTGCTGCTGCCTGGAGGGAGAGTGGAAGGAGATGGGACGGGGGTGAGTGAAACGGAAAATCTATGTGCTTCAAATCTTTTGGGGTGCCTCAAATGTTGAAACGGAAGATTTGTGTGGTTCAAATCAGCGTGTGTGTGCGGCAAGGAGATTCTTGAGTCGGCTAAAAAATCACAAACGGGAGGGAGGAGGGTGAGCGAAACGGAAGAATTACGTGGTTCAGATCAAATCAGCTCTTACCTGGGGCTGGTGGTGTGCGGCGGCAAGGAAAACTTATTCCATCCTCACCTGCCGCATGGCAAGGTGAACCCCGATGCTCATCGCTCGCACTGCCTCTCAGCTCAGCAGCACACGTACCATTAAGGTTCACCTGAGCTCTCACTTGGCGTCAACTGCTCTCACCTCACCTCGCACACCACCTCTCAGCAGCACACCGCCTCTCAGCAGCACACCGCCTCTCAGCAGCACACCGCCTCTCAGCAGCACACCGCCTCTCAGCAGCACACCGCCTCTCAGCAGCACACCGCCTCTCAGCAGCACACCGCCTCTCAGCAGCACACCGCCTCTCAGCAGCATCTGACCACCTCTCAGCAGCATCTGACCACCTCTCAGCAGCATCTGACCACCTCTCAGCAGCATCTGACCACCTCTCAGCAGCATCTGACCACCTCTCAGCAGCATCTGACCACCTCTCAGCAGCATCTGACCACCTCTCAGCAGCATCTGACCACCTCTCAGCAGCATCTGACCACCTCTCAGCAGCATCTGACCACCTGTCGCCTGCTTCAATCCATTCCAGCCCTGAGCTACTCTCACCTGCCGCGTGGCGAGATGGGCAGCATTCTCATCGTCGCACCGCCTCTCTGCAGCACCCAGCTCCTCCCTTAAAGCCTGGATCATGCGCGCCTCTGTGGTGTCCCGGTTCTTGGACAGGGCCTCTGAGCTCGCCTGCAGTTTGTGTGATGGGGTGATGGCATGATGGGGTGAAGGGGTGTCAGGTGGGCTGATCGCACGGTGGAACATGCACGCCTCTGTGGTGTCCCAGGTCTTGGACATGGCCTCTGAGCTCGCCTGCAGTACATGGGATGATTGCATGAGGTGATGATGGCAAGATGGCATGATGGCATGATGGCATGATGGCATGATGGCATGAGGTGATGATTGCACGATGGCACGATGGCATGATGTCATAATGTCATAATGTCATTGTAGAAAAGTAGACTCAATGTGCATAGCTGTAAGATGCACAAGTTGGAGATGGTAAAGATAGGTTCCAAGAGGAGCCCTAGAAAGTGTAAGACAAAGTAGTGAATAGAGATGACAAAGACATTAGGCTAAGTAGGCCCAGATTGTGAAGAAGAGAGAGATGGAGAAGTGCTGGGCGACTTGGGCTGGTCCAGGTGAGAAGAATGGCACCCAAGAGACTTGGGGTGCCCAAATGGGTGCTCAAGTCGCCCACAGTCAAGGTGGGGACGTGAGGAACCCTCAAAGTGGGCTTGGAAGCGCCCCCACAAGTGGAACCGCGATTCCACAAGTTGGATTCGTGGTTCCACAAGCTGGAGCCGCGTTTTCATGGTTGAGAAACATGGGTCCGGGTTGGAGCCGCGTCCCAAATGTTGAGATGCGTGGTGAGGTACCCCAATTCGGATTTTGGGGTGCCTAGCCTTTGATAAAATCACTTGGGGGCACCCTATTCCTAATATAACCCAACCCCTTATGTCTACACCTAATATAATGTAACACATTACACATAACAGAGAAATGTACTAAGTTGACTACATCCCAGATAAAAGCCTAAAACAGATACTCAACAACAGACATAATGTCATAATGTATGATGGTAGGATGGTAGGATGGTAGGATGGTAGGATGACATATTGTGGCCTCACCCTCTCACACCCACTCACTCTCGAATGGTCTTTGCACTAATGATCACTCTCTCTAACTCACTCCCTCACTCACTTCCTCACTAAATCCCTCACTCACTCACTCGCTCCCACCTGCAGAGAGGCGAGTCTGGCTTCAAGGGAGGCGGACTGCCTCTCGGCGCTCTCCAGCGCGCCACACAGCGACTCTATCTCCAAGTTCTTCGTCTCCATGCCTGCTGCCACTGGCGTCCCACTCGCTCCCTCACTCCCTCACTCACTCCCTCCCTCACTCACTCACACACACCCACCTGCAGGGAGGCGAGTCTGGCTTCAAGGGCAGCAGACTGCCTCTCAGCACTCTCCAGCGCCCCACATAAGGACTCAATCTCGCGGTTCTTCGCCTCCATGCCGGCTGCCACTGCCGCCTCTGCTGCCACCGCTTCTGCCCGTGCGCTCGCCAGCTGCTGCTGCAGGGCTCGCACCACACTATCCACTGACCCCCGGTTGTTCCTCTGTGAGGAAGGGTGGAAGGGAGGGGAGGGGAGGAGAAAGGGAGATGAGAACCTGATGATTCCACTGCCACCTCTGATGATCACCGATTCTGCCCTGCACTCACTAGCTGCTGCTGCAGGGCTCGCACCACACTGTCGACTGATCCCGTGTTGTTTTGCTGTCGGAAGGGTTTAGTGAGAGGGGAAAAGAAAGCGAGGAGGGAACCTGATGCTGCCACTGCCGCCTCTGCTGCCACCGCTTCTGCCCATGCACTCGCTAGCTGCTGCTGCAGGGCTCGTCGTACCCCACTGTTGACTGACCTGCGGTTGTTTCTCTGTGGAAAGAAAACGGTGCAAGGGAGGGAGGGAGGGAGGATAGGCAAGAGGAAGAGGGAATGCTCCCCTCATGCTACCACTGCTTCTGCCTGTGCGTTTGCGAGCTGCTGTTGCTGCAGGGCGTGCACCACACTATCCACTGACCCCCGATTGTTCCTCCGTGAGGAAATGGCGAAAGGGGGACGTTAGGGGAGGGGAAAGGGACGGAGGAAGGGAGGATCAAGGGAGGGAGGAGCTGTTGCTGTCGCTGCTGGCTCTGCTGTGAGCCTGTGGGGATAGCGGGGGGCAAATAGACATGAGCGTAGGGCCGAGCCGGCCAAGGGGCAAAGGAGTCAGTAGTCGTGTTTTGAGACGTCTCATAACACGAAGGGTGCTCACAAGCAACAACACTGTTCACTGATTCCCTGATGCGCTTCTCCAGAGAGTGATGGGCCACACGAGAGACTTTTAAGGATTCCTAAGTGCCCCATAACACGCAGTTTAGAGGCGCACAAAAAGCATAAAGCAGCAGCAGTCACTCACCTCCTCGTGCAGCAGCTCCTCCAGCTGCTCGTTCTCCGCCTTGCACTCCTGCAACCCATTGCCTGAGGTTGCCTCAGAGACTAATGCACGTGCTCTCATGCACCACTCACTCACCTCCTCGTGCAGCAGCTCCTCCAGCTGCTCGTTCTCCGCCTTGTACTCCTGCAGCCGCACTGACAGCTGGGCGCAGATCTGCAGTGGGGGAGACAAACGAGGAGGGGCAAAAGACGGCTAGGCATTGCTTGTCTGTTGACTCACAAGTCTCCCTGCCTTGTACTCCTGCAACCGCGCCGACAGCTGGGCGCTGATCTGCAGGGCGGGAGACAAAAGAGGGGGGGCAAAAGAGAGCTAGGGATCGCTTGTTTGTTGACTCAGAAGTCTCTCTGTCTTGCACTCCTGCAGCCGCGCTGACAGCTGGGAGCAGATCTGCAGTGGGTGAGACAAATGAGGAGGGGCGAAAGAGGGCTAGAAATTGCTTGTTTGTTGACTCAGAAGTCTCCCTGTCTTGCACTCCTGCAGCCGCGCTGACAGCTGAGCGCAGATCTGCAGGGCGGGAGACAAACGAGGGGCGAGAAGGATAGGAGATGGGTAAGCCCTGTTTACTAGAAATACCCCACATGCATTTCCTCAGTATAAGGTGGCTCAGAACAAGCAGACATCACCACGTACAACAACGCCTATGCTTCGTTCACACATACCCGTGCCAGCCTGGCGTCCTTGGGTTTGCCCCACACACAATTCCTCGTTACAAGACAACTCAAAACAAAGCACCATGCGCTTGTCACACATACCCGTGCCAGCCTGGCCTCCTTGGTTAAGCCAATGCCTGTGGTGGACCGAAGAAGCCCCTTGGCCTGACAGAGGCGGGGGGAAAACACAGCAGTGAAGGGAGGGGCGGAAGGGATGGAATAAGATGGGGAAGGACAGCTGGTTCGAATCACACCTGTAGCAGACCGAAGAAGCCCCTTGGCCTGGCAGGGACCGGGGGGGGGGGAACGGACATGTGTAGGGGCGAGTGGAAGCGGGAGTGGAGAGGACATACAGTAGACTTCTACCTGACTGTCCTCCCCACAAGAGGTGCCGGGACTGGAGAGGACAGACAACTCACGTGTAGGTGCCGGGAGTGGAGAGGACAGACACCTCATGTATGGGTGCCGGGAGTGGAGAGGACAGACACCTCATGGTGAGTAATGGTGCTGCTAATGATGGTGGGGATGAAAAGCAGGCAATGGCAATGAGGCAAGTGTGGCAAAGAGGCAGGTGCGGCAATGAGGCGGGTAGGCTTGAGCAAAATACCCGCGCTGGGCGGGTACGCGGACTTGGATCCGCTTTTTGGGCGGGTTGGGTATCCGATTTTTGAGGCGCCTCAAAAATCGTCTCAACTCACGCGGATTTTATATGGGGAATATTTTCATTGCATGGAGGTGTGCACGTAACCTTCAAAAGTTACTTGTGCGAGCCAAGTTACCAAGGCTTATCGACAGTTCGGAAGAAGACCCTCCTGAAGTCTGACACCTGCAACCTCGGGTTTTTACCCACTGCTGTGTTGGCGAATGCCCATTGATAGGCAATCTGGGTAGTTGATAATCTTGAGATTTGTTTTTCGAGGGTGTGGGTTGTTACTTAGCTCATGCCTAGACTCGTGATCTCTTATGTCCAGTAGCACTGATGAAGGCTCGGCGGGCTTGATCCCCGTAAGCCGAAACATGTTTGCGACCTGGTAATTTTGAGTGAAGAGTTTTTACGAAGCAAATCTCTTGCCTAAGGTTTTTTTTACTCTCGTTCTTGTTGCTCAAGCGACTGACTTTGCACTGCTGCTCTTCCCAAGACCATGAGTGACGACGACCCGTGGGACTTCGATTGGATTCCATCCGACGAGGAAGAAGCCGGTACAAGTGGTCGCAGCTCGGTTAAGCGCGTTCGTGGGGAGGGAGGATCATCACGCTCCGCAAGACACGCCAGGCGATCTGGAGCTGGGAAGAGAATCCCTCCACTGGCATTGACCTACGAACCCACTCTACTAAGCAAGCAAGCTGAAGCTCATCCCACCGGCCCGTCGACAAGTCGTCCAAGCGTCATGGCGGAAGCTGCCGACACCTCTCCAATCCCTCAACCTTTCAAGGGATGGACGGAGTCGGCTATCAAAAGCTTTCGCGACGACTTCAAGACTTTGCTGAAGGCGAAAGAGAAGCTCAAGAAGATGAAGGATCTCGATGCTCAAGGTGTTTTGCTTCACAGCATCCGCACCAAGGCTGTCGGGTTCCAAACGAAGCTTCCGTCCGTTAAAGAGAAATCTGCTGCATCCGTCGCCGCGATTCACGAGGCGAACCAGAAACGGCTGCAGGCGGACTTCATCGCCTCAAAGGCACTGGAGGTTGAAGAGCTGCAGACGGCGGCGAATTCGCACGTCACCGCTCTAGCTGCAACGATGGAAGATTATATTCAAAGCCTGAGCACTAACCCCGATCTGGTGGTTTCTGATACCGCCAAGGAGAAGTTTCGACTCCTCAAGGGGAGATGCATTGCGAAGGCGAATTCCGACATCGCGGCTGCGAAAGATGACATCGTCATCAAGGAGCTGGATCGACAGTGGAAGGTAGCTGCTGAAGAATTGAAGAAGGCTGCTGCGTCCGAGGAGGTGCATGACATGGAAACCGAGACCGGGATTGAGAAGATTATGGACAAGCATGCGAAGCGGATTGAAGACAAGTTTTGGAGGGAGCTCGCACCTAAATTTAATCCAATCTGATGAAGAAGCTGCTGAAAAAACTTTCTCTCGGAGCACAGGACTCCTCTCGGGCCCCCGCTGTTGACTCGAAGCAGAAGAAATCGTCTGCCGGAACGTCGAAGCCCTTCACCCCTGATCCTCAGGGGCGCCTCTCGGCTAATACGGCAACGGATTCGAAGCCGAAGAAGAAACGCGGGGGTAAGAAGAACAAAAAGAAGAACGGCACCGACAAGGACCAGCAAGCGGGTGGCCAGACATCTGAGAAGGCCAAGGGACCAAAAAACGGCGGAGGCAGCCCCGGAAAAGGGCCGCGCAAGAACTAACCAGTCACGACTTGGCGCTCCGCTGGTTCGGACGGTTGACAGTGCGGCAGCTGTCGACACGGGTTCGGAACCAGGGAGTACATAACCTCAGCTCCAAGGTCTTGTCCTCGGACGAGAAGAAGGGGCTGGGGCTGGGACTGAAGTTCATTCCAACGCCTGCCGTTTCCCTGTCTGGTGCTGTGGAGCTCGACCAGCTCCTACGCCATATTTCGCTTCGACTTTTCTTCAAGGATGACGGCGGTCGGAAGGGGGACTCACGCTTTCGAGTGCGGAATCCCGACTGGCTTCCTGATCGGATTCAAATTCCGGAGCAGGTCTTCAAGGATTCGTCATTCGACTTGTCCTTCCTGTTGAAGGCAACCCGCCCGATCCGACATCAAAACATCTCGTCCGGTGTTAGACGGGCGCTGCGCTCCATCGCTGCGGATCGACACGTGGTAGTGAAACCAGCCGACAAGAACATCGGGATCACTGTCATGGACCGGAGTCACTACGTTCGCCTCTGTCTCGACCATCTTGACGACGCGACGACCTACACTCCAGTTCATCAAGATCCTACCGCCGACGTCGTGCGGAAGCTGCGTGATCTGCAAAGCGTGTGGGGACCTGCTTTTCCCGAGAGCCTGTGGAATTTTTTCTTTGACAAACCGCGTGGTGGATGGCGACCAGCGGCGTTCTACATCCTTCCGAAGCTACACAAGAAGAAACTCGCGGGGCGGCCTATCGCAGCTTCGCATTCATGGGTGACTTCGAATGTTAGCCGTTGGTTGGACGCGGCACTTCGACCACTGGTGCTTCAACAGCCAACCTACCTACGCGACTCCCTCTCATTGCTACTGATGCTGGAAAAGACCACCTTTCCTAAAGGAATACTTCTAGCTACGTACGACATCAACTCGCTTTATCCCAGCATCCCACTAAGGCGAGGGCTCGATGCGGTGAGCAATCTTCTTCAACGAGGGAGGATCGTGAATTCTCAACCAGTCATGGCCCTGCTGGAATGGGTCATGATGAATTCTTTCGTGGAGTTCAACAGCCGAATCTACCAACAGACACAAGGGACTGCCATGGGAACCCCTGCAGCAGTATGCTTTGCTGTCCTCTTCATGAGCTGGCTAGACGAGTTTCTTTCAAGGCGGTGGTCTGGAACTACACCACTGTGCCACGTGCGCTACATCGACGACGGGTTGATAATTTGGCCCGGATCGAAGAGCGAATTGGAGGAGTACCTGAACACCTTCAACACGCTCGATCCAAACATCAAGCTCACTTGGCACATTTCAGACAGTTCGGCTGACTTCCTCGACCTGGTCATCTTCAAGGGTCAACGTTTTGCCGAGCAGGGTACCCTGGATCTGAAATTTTTCAGAAACCGATGAACCGGTATCTGTACCTGCCTTTTTCGTCATTCCACCCCCGACACTGCAAGATGGGTTTCATACGGGCGGAGCTGAAGCGTTACCTCTTGCGCTCGTCATCTGCTCGAACCTACTTTGCTTCTAAGCGTGCCTTCTTCCAGCGGCTAAGAGATCGGGGTTATCCGGCTGATTTTCTGACACCCATCTTCCAGAGTGTTCTCTTCCGACAACGCCCGCTCCTATTGGAGCAGACTGAAGCTCGCCAGGCACACCGAATTTCTACTCCCCCTGACCGCGGGCCCCTAGTTTTGAAGACGCTGTTTTCTCCGTTAACAGCACTTCTCAGGCTGGGGGTCCTTTTGAGGCGCCTCAAAAATCGTCTCAACTCACGCGGAGTTTATATGGGGAATATTTTCATTGCATGGAGGTGTGCACGTAACCTTCAAAAGTTACTTGTGCGAGCCAAGTTACCAAGGCTTATCGATAGTTCGGAAGAAGACCCTCCTGAAGTCTGACACCTGCAACCTCGGGTTTTTACCCACTGCTGTGTTGGCGAATGCCCATTGATAGGCAATCTGGGTAGTTGATAATCTTGAGATTTGTTTTTCGAGGGTGTGGGTTGTTACTTAGCTCATGCCTAGACTCGTGATCTCTTATGTCCAGTAGCACTGATGAAGGCTCGGCGGGTTTGATCCCCGTAAGCCGAAACATGTTTGCGACCTGGTAATTTTGAGTGAAGAGTTTTTACGAAGCAAATCTCTTGCCTAAGGTTTTTTTTACTCTCGTTCTTGTTGCTCAAGCGACTGACTTTGCACTGCTGCTCTTCCCAAGACCATGAGTGACGGCGGGTACTCGGATCCGCTTTTTGGGCGGGTTGGGTATCCGGATTGCGGAATATTACCCGGCGGGTTGGGTCTGGGTTACCCGGGCGGGTATTCGATACCCGTTACCCAAAACGTTACCCGACAGGGCGGGTAACGAGTACCTGTCGGGTCGGGTGATTAATACCCGAGGTCGGGTATTACACCTAGACATGGGTGTAAGTCGCACTGTGTTTTAGGTTTTGCGGCAAAACGGTTTGGGAGGTGAGGGTGGACGAGTGGAGCATTTGTGAGGAGAAGTTGGAGTTTGTAGATGGGGAGGAGTTAAGTGCGGTGAAAGGGAGGGAGTTGGGTGGAAGTTGGAGAAAAGGCTGGAGTTTGTAGATGGGAAGGAGTTGAGCGCGGTGAAAGAGAGGGAGCTGATTTTGAGTTGGAGAAATTGTTAGAGTTTGTAGATGGGGAGGCGTTAAGTGCGGTGAAAGGGAGGGAGTTGGTTGGAACGTGGAGAAGGGTTGCAGTTGCTAGATAGGAGGATTTTAGTGCGGTGAAAGGGAGGGCGTCGGTTGGAACTTGGAAGCCCCCCAGAAAACGCGACTCTCATTTGAGGCCCACTAGTAGGAGGCCCACTAGTAGGTAGCGGGTAGTAATACCCGCTTTTCAGGGTAACCGGGTCGGGTATACCCGAATAAGGGTCGTGGGCATATTACCCGACCCGAGGTCGGGTAATGCAAAACCGGGTCAGGTCGGGTAATTACCCGGTTTTGCTCAACCCTAGAGGCGGGTGTGGCAACGAGGGAGGTGTGGTAGTCATGAATACGACACAGGCAAAGCACACTCAAACAGGGAATCATTCTAGCAAACAAAAAGACCCCTCCATAACATGCATGTCTGTCACACCACACCACACCACACCACACCACACCACACCACACCACACCACACCACACCACACCACACCACGCCATATGCAGCTCCTGCTTGGGTTGGTCAGGTCTACTTTTGAGGCGCCTCGAAACATGTCCTCCTCTAAACTAAACGCATGCAATGCAACTCATGCTTGAGATGCCTCTTAGACTTGGCTTACCTCTTCGAGCCCCCCTCACAGGCCTCACTCACACCTCTCTTCTTTGAGTCTCCACCTCCGATGCCTTCATCACCTTCCCTCTCGTCTTCCTATCGTGCTCCTGCATTGCAATTGCATCTGCCAGTCTTTCTTGCCTACTTCCTGCCTACCTCTTCTAGGTCCCTTTGAGTCTCTGACGCCTTCGCCACTTTCTCCCTCGTCTTCCTATCCCTCTCCTCCCCTTCCTCCTCCTCTTCCTCCTCCTCCCCTCCGCCTCCTCTTCCCCTTCCTCCCCTGCCCGCTCCTCCTCCTCCCCTTCCTCTCCGTCCTCTCCTTCCTCCTCCCCATTTTCCTCCTCTCCCTCCTCCGCCTCTTCATCTTCCCCATCCACTCCCCCTCCCCCTCCTTCCGCCTCGTCCTTCTCCCCATTCTCCAAACGGTCCTCTGGACACCCCTCCCCTCCACCACCACCACCTCCCTCCTCCTTCCCTGCGGCACCCCTCCCACCCCCCTCGATGTCAACCACGACCCCGCTCTCTCCTCCCATCCCGCACTTCTTCTCCCCCCCCTCGCGCCCTTCCCCTCCTCCCTCATCTCCCCCGGCGTCTCTTTCCCTGCTCTCGCCTCCTCCCCTCGCACCCCCCGCCTCTGCACCTGCTTCTGAACCTGCAGTTGAGTCACCCCCCCTTATAAGCACCCCGACTTCTGCTGCCCCTGTAGACGCTCCCTGGAACTCCCCCTCTACGTTCTCACTCACATCCGCGCCTCTCTTCTCCCCCTCAGCAGCCCCATCCAGCACACCCGTTTCACTCCCTCTCTCACTCCCTCTCTCACTCCCTCTCTCACTCCCTCTCTCACTCCCTCTCTCACTCCTCTCACTCCCTCGTTCGCTCCCTCCTGCTGCTGCAACCCCGCTGCCTACATCCACAGCATCCGAGCCTATCCCTGACTCTGCCCCCAGACCACCTTCCAAACCTGCGTCCGAACCACATGAATCAGGCACGGCAGCTCCAGCAGTGGCAACAGCAGCAGTGGCAGTAGCATCAGCCCTCAAGTCACCATTTTCTGCCACATTCCCTGTTCCTGCTGCTGCTTCTTCCTCTGTTGCTGCTGCAGCTCCTGCCACCTTGTCTCCTGCAGCTGTGCCGGTCGCTCTTGCAGCTATTGCAGCTGGAAGCACAGCAGCATCAGCAGCGGCAAGCAACACAGTTGACCCCCCACCAGTTGACCCTCCACCAGCTGACCCCCCGCCAGTTGACCCTCCACCAGTTGATCCTCCCCCAACCAAGCTCCCACCAGTCGACCCTCCAGCAGCTGATCCCCCACCAGTTGGCCCTCCTCCGGTTGATCCCCCACCACTCGACCCTCCACTAGAGCTAGCCTCAACTTTCTTCCTCCTGCCACCCCCCGCAACCTTACCCCCTCTAACTCCTGCTGTGCCTGCTGCTCCTGCTGCCCTTCCCTCTGTTTCCGAGGAGCTTCCAGGCTCGTCCAGGGAAGGTGCGCTGATGGACCCTTTAAGAGCTGCCCCGTTAGTGGCTCTACTGGAGGCTGCTTTGGATCTCGATTTGTCTAGCTTAGCCTGTGCACACGAGTCAATAGAGAGGGGTTGTCGGGATTGGACACGAGATTGCGGCGAATCAGAATAAAGGCCAGCCACAAGTAAACGAGGCGACTCAAAAGCACACCCTGGCTAGTTGCTGCTGCAATAGGACAGGACACAACAGCAACGTGACAGGGCGGGCGCTACCAAACGCATCCCTCACCTTCTCTTTTGTTGTCGATGACTTGCGCAGTCCCACAGGCTCCAGTGCTGCCCACCGTGCAAGTGAGGGAAGACAGGGAGGTGAGGGAAGGAGGTCAGGGAAGAATCAAAGGCAAGTGGAAATAAGGAGCTAAGGGGAGGCTCGGTGAACAAGACACTGGCTTGCGCACTCCCACAGGCTCCAACGCTGCTGAGCGTGCACGTGAGTGGGGGCAAGTCAGGGAGGTGAGGGAAGAAAAGGAGGTAGGGGGAAGAAGCTAGGCCAGACCCAGTGGAAGCGCTGAGAAGGAAGACCTGCCTTCTGTGATGTTTCGTATAAACTAAATTCTTCACCCTTCCCAACCGTTCCCAACCAACCCTAACCAGCTGCACTCTCTTCACCTGCTAGCTGCTAGTTCAGAGCTGCGGCAGCAGCGAAGGCAGAACGAGCAGCAGGCGAAGCAGAAGGATCGTCATTCCCTGCTAACCATACCACCCCTTCCCTTACACACCCCCCCCCCCCCCCCCCCCTCCTTACGCCCATCAACCACCCTTCCCGGCCCCAACTGCCCTCACTCTCTTCACCTGGCAGCTGCTCCTCCAAAGATGCTGCGGCAGCAGCGGAGGCAGAAAGAGCAGCAGACGGAGTGGAATCATTATTTTCCACCCCACTTCACCCCATCAACCACCCCTCCACACCCACCCAACCCAACCCAACCCAACCCTACCTAACCCAACTACCCACTATTCACCTGCCAGCTGCTCCTCCAATGATGCTGTGGCAGCAGCGGAGGCAGCAAGAGACAGACGAAGTGGAAACATCAATTTCCGCCCCACCTCACCCCATCCGTCAACCACCCTTCCCCACCCAACCCAACCCAACCCAACTACCCACTATTCACCAGGCAGCTGCTCCTCCAAAGATGCTGTGGCAACAGCGGAGGCAGAAAGAGCAGCAGATGGAGGGGAATCATTATTTTCCACCCCACCTCACCCCATCAACCACCCCTCCCCACCCACCCAACCCAACCCAACCCAACTACCCACTATTCACCAGGCAGCTGCTCCTCCAAAGATGCTGTGGCAGCAGCGGAGGCAGAAAGAGCAGCAGACGAAGTGGAATCATTATTTGCCACCCCACCTCACCCCATCAACCACCCATCCCCACCCACCCAACCCAACCCAACCCAGCCTTACCCTACCCAACTACCCACTATTCACCTGCGAGCTGCTCCTCCAAAGATGCTGCGGCAGCAGCGGAGGCAGAAATTGCAGCAGGCGGAGTGGAATCATCACTCCGTGCTGCCACACCCACTGTGCGATCCACCGCTTCTAGCAGCTCTGGGAGAGGGGAAAGGGGAAGGGAAGATGAGTGGGGGGGGGGAGGGAAAGGGGAAGGGAGTGGGGTTGGGCGCTACTAGCAGCAGCAGAAAGAGCAGCAGGCGGACTAAAATCGCCATTCCGTGCTGCCACAGAGTGCCGTACCCACTGTGCGATCCACCACTTCAAGCGGCTCTGGGACGGGAAGGAGGGGAAAGGAGGGGAAGGAGGGGAAAGAAGGGGAAGGGGGGGTGGGAAAGGGCGCTACTAGCAGCAGAAAGAGCAACAGGCGGAGTGGAATCATCACTCCGTGCTGCCACACCCACTGTGCCATCCACCGCTTCAAGCAGCTCTGGGACGGGAAAGAGAGAAAGGAGGGAGAGGAAAAAGGGAGGGAGAGGAAAAAGGGAGGGAGAGGAAAAAGGGAGGGAGAGGGAAAAGGGGGGAGAGGGAAAAAGGGGGGAGAGGGAAAAAGGGGGGAGAGGGAAACAGGAGGGAGAGGGAAACAGGAGGGAGAGGGAAACAGGAGGGAGAGGGAAACAGGAGGGAATGGGGAAGAGAGAGGGGGAAGGGCGTTTCTCGCAGCCGGTGAGGCAAAATCCTCATTCCCTGCTGCTGACACACTCACTGTGCGCTGCGATCCATTGCCTCTAGGAGCTCTGCGAGGGGGGCGGAAGAGGGGAAAGGGGAAGGGAGTAAAGTTGGGCGTTCCAGGCAGCAGATAGAGCCGGCGAGGAAAAATCCTCATTCCCTGCTGCTGCCACACTGGCTGTGCGCTGTGCGCTGTGATCCATTGCCTCTAGAAGCTCTGAGGGCTGGGAAAGTGGGGGTGGAGATAAAAATGTGCATGCAAGAGGAGGAGCAGGGGTTGATATGTATGATTTAAGCACAAACACAGCACGACTTATATTCCCGCAATAACTCCATCCTGCTTCTCCATATCTTCACCCTCGAACTAGTTGCAAACGCTGCCTGGCTTCGAACGCTGCATGGCTTCGAAGGCGGGATGGCTTCGAAGGCGGCATGCCTTCATAGTCGCCGTTAATGCCTTCCATTACCCCCCAATATAGTGACCAACACACTACATCAAGGTACGTACCTTCAGCAGCTCGTAGCCACCCCGCCATTGCGACCGACTGTCACTGAGTCTGCACGTAACGGCGACCAGATGGTGGTAGTAGTGAACCTCCTCAAGAACCGGCTGTCTTGATCGAGGTCCCACGCTTAAAAGCGACTAGATTCTGCTAGTGAACTGCCTCAATAACCGACTTTTCGAGGTCACGCCGAAGTCCCGCGCTTAAAGGCGACGAGATTTTGCTAGTGCGTCGCCTCGATAACCGCCTCTTTCCCGAAGTCGCGTACTTCGCGGCGACTAGATTCGACAAGGCAACAGCTTAGCCAGACGGTAAACGCAGGGAGCGCGATGACGAACCCAGAACAGAAACTGCACAGATGTCACAAGGCACATGGGCTAGGTTCGAGAAGGCAATAGCTGTAGAAGAATGGCCGGAGCAGGGAAGGTACTCGCGACTGCTTCGTAACCTTTCCTTCGGTCTTGCGCGACTGTCCTACTCTGGCGAAATCGGCGAACGGCGGCTATCAGATTACAGATTTCCCCAACAACGCATGCCTTTCAAGAGAGTTTGCCTGAAAGGCTGAAGCTACGTCGCTATTCGCAAGGAGTTGGTTACACCGCACTGGTACTTCACGGTGAGTATTTGAAACGCTCGTAACATGCAACTGGCTGGTTACACTGCTGTCACTGGCACTTCAACAAGCAAGTCAGCTTCGGAAACACGCATTACGCAGAGCCAGTCACGATCGCGAGGTAACGGCCGCTTTAGCGAGCATGTCAGAAACTACAAGCATGTCAGAAACTACTAGTAGTACCACTACTACTGCACAGGAGAGTGGAAAATCTGAGAAAAAAATGCAATCCAGTATGTGCCGGGCTGGGACGAGTGAATGTAGGCTGTGTTTTCCCTAGGGACTGAGTCAAACCATGCTAGGGCGAAACTGCCGACGACGAGACAACTGGCAGTTGGCGGGGGAAGCACGCGGCAATCTCGAAGCTGGACTCCACAACTTTCTAGGGTAGTGTACTGGTCATTATTTTCGACACCACTAAGGAAAGTACACCTGCTGTAAACGAAGAACTACCCAAAACATATTGATTCAAACACAAGATCCACTACAAAAAAAAAACCCATGAATCTGGATTGCAAACAATAAAATACTAGCTTGAGCCTAAAAACCCGATTATGAAGCTGTTCATTTCTTGACAAGGCCATGTGCTTGCGCTGTCCGGAAGGGTGGGACATATGGCACAACCCCCGCCTGACCAGGCTTCGAGCTGCCTTCCTTCACTCCTCTTAATTCCTTCACACCGCTCCTCACCTCCCCTTTCGCTTCGTCTTCGTCCACCATATCCGCCCAGCTCTGATGACTGGGTGCGGCTGCTTCCTCAAAAGGAGTCAATGCCGCCACGCCACCGCAGCCAGGGGTGAGACCAGGAGGGCCTGGGCTGGTAGCTCGACCAGGATCAGGTGCTTGGGCAGGGATAGGAGCATTATGGGGTGGTGCCACACTCATGCTCATCCCTTGCCCACCAATCTTGCTACCCCTAGCAGCAGGGGAAGGGACAGTATCACTAGTAGCACCGTGGGACCCCGCACCAAATAGAAATGGACCGCTCCCCTCCCCTTTCATCTTCTCCACACGCCCATGTGGGTGGGTGCCATGGGTGACCGCCTCAGCGGGGCTCCTTCGAATGGGTATGTCACCAGTCCTTCCCCCATGTGTCGACGCTTGAAGGTTCAAGCTTGAAAATGCCAATGAGTCCACCTCCTCCTCCTCTTGCTCCTGCGCCTGCTCTTTTGTCTGCCCTGGCTGCTCCTCTCTCCTGGCTTTCGTTTCAGCCTGCCTATCTACCATCCTTGCTGCACCTTTACCTCCACCTATTGCCCCCCCTCCACCACCACCACCACCACCACCACCCAGAACCCGCCCACTACTCAGAACCCTAACCCCTTCTCTTTCCCCTCCCATTCCCCCTGCCCCTCCCCCTCCTGGGCCTCCACCTGCACCTGTGGTCGACCCAGAGCCCCGTGCCCTTCCCACGCCTGCTCCCCTGCCCCTGCCCCTCCCCCGGCCCGTGACTTCACCTGCCCCCAGGTGAAACCCACTGAGCACCGGAGCAAACGCTGCGTCCAGCAGCCGGTTACCGCCTCCCACCCCGCTCACCCTCCTCCTCCCCCCCTCCCTGCCAGCACTGCCATCACCGCTGCTACTGGGCACATCCCCCATGGTAGCACCCCTGCCATCCCCCCTTCCACCTGCTGGAGTCCTCTCCTCGCATCCCCCAGCTGACCTATCCCCCCCACGCCTCTCGCCTCCACTCCTCTCCCCCTTCCTCTCCCCCCTGGAGTAGTTGCCCTTATCAAGCCCTTCACGTCTCCCCTGGGTGCTCCCCATTGTGCCCACTCGGCTTCTGCTGCTGCCATGCCTGCCCCTCTCAATGCTTTCACCGGTCTCCCCTGTTCCTTCCTGCAAGTCTTGCACAACCACCTCTCTCGCATCCTTGCCCTCTCGCCTCTCTGCCCCCACTTTTAAATCCTTGCCCTTCCTCTGCTGCCCATGCTGCTCCCCTCGTTGCTGCTGCCTCCCCCCTGCATCTCTACCCCCATCCTTCTCTGCTGCTAACCCCTCCCCTGCATCCCCCTGCTGTGCCGTCTTTCCTCCTCCCTTCCCCTCTCGTCCTCTGCAGTCCTCCCTCGTTTTAACATCTCCTCGAAACGCCCCCTTCGGCTCTCCCTTTTGCTCCGCAGGTTTATGACACGTCATCACCACAGGTGATTCTCCTCCTTCTGTGCCGTGCCCCCTGCCCGCCCCTGCCCCTCCCTCTCGCATCTGCTTCGCAGCAGCTGCAGCAGCAGCAACAGGAGTGACGCCAGTGGCGGCGGCACATTGATAGAGCCGCTCATAGACCTCCCTGTCCTTCTGAACGCGCACCTGGTTGGAGGGGGGACATGGGGGGGTGGGTTGAGAGTGGGCGTGACTGTGGGGTTGGGGTGAATCATCCGCTAGGCAGCCGTGGCGACAGGAGTGACGCCAGTGGCGGCGGCAGCTTGGTAAAGCTGCTCATAGACCTCCATGTCCTTCTGTACGCGCACCTGATGGGGGGGGGAAACATCGGAGAGGTAAACAAAAAGGGGGGGGTGGGAGAGGGAGGAGGGGAGGGTGGGGGGAGAGGGGAGAGAAAGGGGGGAGAAGAGGGGGAGGGGGTGAACGGAGTTCTCCAGTTAGAGTCATTACATTAAACAAAAAAAAACAAACACACACACACACACACACACACACACACACACAAAGAAACCACGATTTCCCACTTACAATCTCCTTCATAAATTGGTGCTGTCCATCTATCCTCCGCCTCGCCTTTCCTCCCTCCATCCCCACCTCCACGCCCCCATAGCCACTAATAGCACTGCTCGTGTCATCCCTCCCTCCATCTCTCCCTCCCCTGCTTCTACCCCCCTCTCGCTTTCTCTCCCATCCCCCATTTTGCCTCCCACCTCCCCTTCCCCAGCCACCAGCAACACCAGCACCAGCAGCACCAGCACCAGCAGCACCAGCACCAGCAGCAGCAGCAGTACCACCACCACCACCCGAAATTTCCCCCTCGTACGCCTCACGCCACAAGGGGTTGCCCCCCCACCCTCCCCGCTCTTGTTTTCCACTCGTCCTTCCTCCCTTAACCGCCTCCCCTGCCTCTTCTCTCCCTCCTCTTCCACCTCCTCCCTCTTCTCCCTCCTCCTCCTCCTCCTCCTCCTCCTCCTCCTCCTCCTCCACGCACCCTCCTCCTCCCTGCATGGGCTTGCTGCCAGCTGTACTCTCGTCACTGTCACTATCACTATTATCACCACCGCCACCAGCAACAGCACCACTGTTGTACCTGCGAGCTCCCCTGCCTCTGCTGCTGCCCCCACCGCAAAACCCACTCTCCACACTATCACTATCACTGCCATTACTGCCATTGCCTCCCCCTCTACGGCTTGCTTCTGCTGCTGCTGCTGCTGCTGCTGCTGCTGCTGCTGCTGCTGCTGCTGCTGCTGCTGCTCCTGCTGCTCCTCCCCTGCCCGTCTGCCCCTTCCCCTTCCCGCCTGCACTCCCCACCACTGCTTCCTCCCCCCCGTGCAGACTATCTATCGAGCTGTGTCTACTATGTACCGAGCCCTCCCTGCTATTTGCGGAGCCTCCTTCACTATTCAAGGAGTCCTCACTGTTCAAGGCACCCTGTTGATCTGGCTCTGCGGCTATATCTCTCTCCCCCAATGCTTCTTCCCCCGCCTTTTCCAGGCCTTTGTCCCCTACAACCCCTATAATTCCCTCCCCATTCCCCTCTCCATCCCCCTCCCCATTCCCTCCCCACTCCCCTCCCCACCGCGCTCCCCACTCCCCTCCCCCGCAGCTCCCGGACTTTCTTCCGCCATCTCCCCTCTGCTTCCCCCCCCCTCCTCCCCTTCGTTTCTCTCCAGCGAAATCCCTTCACTTCCAATCCCAGCGCCCACCCTGCGAACCTCCCCCTCTCCTTCTTCGCTATCCCCTCCGCTTCTCCCCGTTTCGGGCCCCAAATGCAGGGCTGAGGGGGGGGAGGGCGGGACAGGTTTCGGCAGAGCACACGAAGGGAGAGGAAGGGCACACGAAGGGAGAGGAAGAGCACAAGACGGGAGAGGAAGAGCACAAGACGGGAGAGGAAGAGCACAAGACGGGAGAGGAAGAGCACAAGACGGGAGAGGAAGAGAGGAGGGCCGGTATGAGCAGAGGAGGGAGGAGTAAAGAAGAGAGGTAGAGCATGGGTTAAACAAGGAGGCGACTTTGGAGTCGACTGGAGAAAGTCAGCCTGGGCCCTGGGAAATTAGGGGAAGAAGGTTAGTATCGATCGGAAAAGGAACAAGCCGAGAAGGGAAATTAAATGATGCAGAAGCAAACGTAGCGAGGGAAAAAAAACTGAAAAAAAAAAAAACAAACAAACAAACAAACAAACAAACAAACAAACGCGGAAAACTGCGCCTTTCAAGAAGCGAATCCGCCTCCCACTCTTCCCCCTCATCGTCCACCCTTCTTCCTCTTCCCCCCTGCCGTAGCACACAGAACGCACCAAAGAGCTTCTTATCTAGAGATCCTGCGGAATCCGCGCATATTCCACCACCGGATTCCGCGAAACCCCCATCGGCTTCCCCATCAACCGACGGCTCTGATCTTCCATCAGTCAACGGCTCGGATGTTCCATCAGCCAAAGGCTCGGATCCCCCATCGGCGCAACGACCACCTCTGGTAGAATCATCGGTGCCGGGAAGAGACGGCTTTCGCTCGTCGCCGCTGCTGCAGGCATTCTCGTCCATATTCTCGTCCTTTTTCTCATTCTCGAATTCAGTCCTGTTCTTATCATCATCCATGATGCGCTGTAGAAGGCAACACCAACAGGTTGTCCTAATAGACGTCTTTATAATATTTTAGTAAGGTATGTGCTACAAGAAAGACAAGCTGTGGAATGGTCGCATGGTAGGATGATAACCTATCCCGGAGAACTGGGAGCAGGGAGAAGACTGTAGTTTCTCGCTGCAGCAATTCGCTTGGGAGCGACACTAAATCTTGCCGAGTTAGCGACGTGTGTAGGAACTGCATTTCGCAGATGACCTCGCGCAAGTTACCCTCCCGTGACGTAGATTGCTAGACGAATCCTGCAGGGCAGTAGCGCAGCCCACAATGTTCACTTCGCTCGCGAACATCAAGTCCGCTGGAGGCGAAATGAACCTTGTGAGTCCTGCAATGTTGAATTGGATGTGATAATAACAACAGAACCCTACCAGCCTGCTTCTTGTTCTACACCGATACAAAGTGCTATAATATGATGATATATAGGCGCTTTTACAATAACCGCCTTTGTTGGGCTGAGAAAAAGCCTTAGGACCTTTTCAGAGACTAAGTCCCACTTGTACAAAACGCTTGAGTAGTGCAACGGAAGTGTTGAGTAGTTGAACCCTTGCACTAGTATGTGAGAGCAAGTGATTGATTAAAAGAAACAAGCATACATCAATATAAGAAATGAAGTAGTTGTAGAATACAGTTGAAGGAACAGTTATCGAGTCGCACAGCGACTCAATTGTCAGTTTGGTTACCACCCTTGCGGTCGCAACGGTCAATCGCAACCTCCGGTTGCAACCCTTCGAGTCCCTTCGCCCTTTCATATTCTTTCGTCCAACCTCCATGTGTAACCTCCGTTGACTTGCATACCCGATACGACTTTCCTCGGGTGTAGTGTTACACTTCAGAAACGTTCAAGTCTTCGAGGTATTTCCAACACTCCCCTTCGTTTCTGGAGTGCTGAAGTGTCCGGATTCGGTGACGTTTATCTGCCCGGTCAGCAGCATGCAGTAATCGAATGCATGCAGTAATCAACTGCAGTAATCCCGGTCAGCAGCATGCCATCAGGTAATCTGCAGCAACTGAGTTGAAGCCTCCCCTTCGCGATCTCATCCTTGACGAAGAAATACCACAAGGCGATGTGCTTGATTCGATTGGCGAACCCGTTTTTGTTCGCGATTTTGTTTGCGAATCGATTGTCGCAGAATAACGAGAAGGCGGGCATGGTCGCAATTTTCGCTTCCTCAAGCAGCTCCCGCAGGTAAAGTTCCTCTTTGGTCGCAGTACAGAGACCGATGTATTCCGCTTCAGCCGAAGATAGTGCGATTAGTTCCTGCTTGCTCGACTTCCATGACATAGTTCCGATAGGCTCTAGTCGGTAGATGTAGCCCGTTATGGAACGCCGATTCCCCCTGTCTCCTGCGTGGTCAGCGTCGACATACAGTGGCGGAAAAAATTGCCCGGATGTTTAGCAGTTTGAAACATATCGCTATGCCACACTTGTTTCGAAAATAGTAACACCATTTTTTCTCGTCCTGTTACAAGGTTTTCGAATTATGCTTCAACAGGTTCTTGCTTGGTGCGATTGCGATACAACCGGAAAGCGGGGTTGAGATTTACTCCTCGGCTGTCGATGCGGACAGTTCATACCGAGCGACCGACTAGATATATTTTCGCCCGTCACTCGGTGTGCACATCGTTACGCGCAACAGCTGCTAGTCTAGGAGTTAGTCCTAAAGCGAACCTACGACCGCATCGCTATGAAGCCGGTAGAAGACAAGAAGCGCGCGAAAATCATAAGCCTGTTGCGCGAAGTGCATTCGACTTGGAAAATAGCCAAAGTTCTTGGCATAGGCAAGAGCACCGTGCACGATTACGGTTTGAAGGTGATTGCCGAGACTAGTCTCGATGAGGTGCGACCCACGATGCCCACGGCAGGCCGCCCCCGCTTAATCTCAACCCGGCTTCAGCACGGAATAGTTCGAGCGATTACAAGCGGCGAGGCGAAAACCAGTGTAGACGCCGCAAAGATGTTGCAGGAGAAGCACGGTCTGGCTGTAGACTCGAAGACGGTCAGGAACTCGCTACGATCCGCGGGCTTGATCGCCGTGCAGCAGCCGAAGAAACCCAAGCTCTCACCGAAAAACATACGTGATCGTCTCGATTTCACGAGGTCGCATGCCGACTGGACGCTGGAGGACTGGAAGCACGTGATTTGGTATGATGAGACTAAGATAAACCGTTTCTGCTCCGACGGACGTGCGTACGCCTGGATTCGCAAGGGCACCAGCCTCCAGAGCCATCAAATCCAACAGGCAGTTAAGCATGGGGGCGGTTCTGTGATGGTGTGGGGTTGCATGACGTATGAGGGGGCAGGGTTCATGTGCAAGATAGATGGCAGGATGGATGGGCCGCTGTATCGCAGCATCTTGCAAGATGAGCTCAAACATACCATCGATTTTTTCAAGCTCCCCCCCTCAGAGGTCATTTTCCAGCACGAAAATGATCCCAAGCACAGGTCCCGTCTGGTCCAAGAGTGGCTTGGGGAGCAGGAGTACGCGGTGCTGGAATGGCCCCGTCCTCCCCGGACCTTAACTTGATAGAGCACCTGTGGGCACACTTGAAAAGGCAGCTAACGGCGTACGAAAAACCACCTAGTGGAATGCTGGAGCTGTGGGAGAGGGTGCAGGAGGAATGGGACAAGATACCGGCGGAGGTGTGTTCAAACCTCATCGACAGTATGCCGAGGAGGATCAAGGCAGTGATTCGCGCTAAGGGACACTGGACTAGGTACTAGTATTGCTGCCAGTCCTCGGTACAAATTGTCCGGATGTGCTCTTATGATATGCTTAGGTGTTTAAGGACCATGTATTATACTACTATAGTGTTTGTCGACTTGAATGAGTGCTCTAAATGATCTTCTCCACGCGTATGCATATCATAAATTAAGGCTTCATATTTACGCCACGGCACTCATCAAAATGCAACAAAAAGACTGAACATGTGGACAATTTTTTCCGTCACCATAGCCGATTAGTTGTACGGACGACGGTGTCACCTTGCTGTAGGTGAGTCCGATCGTCGGTGTAGAGACGAAGTAGAGCAGTGCTCGATTCAGCTCCTCGAGGTGCTCTTGCTCCGGTTGCTTTAGGTGTGTCGCCAGTTGACTAGCGCTGTAGGACAGGTCCGGTCGGCAGGTTACGGCTGCGAACAGGAGACAACCGAGCTTCTGTTGGTATTCCTGGATCTACTTAGTGGGGAGCTTTTCCGCGTGTAGGCAGAACGCCGAATCGTCGTCGACGACATTCAGGCCTAGGTACTGGGTCACGATGTCTGACACCGTGAGTGCTAAATCACTCTTCAACTCCCATTCGAACCAGGTGACGACGTCGGTAGTGGAGCCGACGTAGAGCAGGTCATCGACGTAGACAATGAGTAGGACAAAGTCGCCCCACTTTTGCAGTCGGTAAATCCCTTGGTCGTGCGACAACTGCAGGAAGCCGATCCTGACGAGGCGACCATGAAGGTGCTGCTGCCAAAGCCGCGGGCCTTGTTTGATTCCGTAGAGAGATTTATCAGCTGGCACACTTTTGTAGGATCGTCGATGAAGCCGTGGGGCTGCTCGACGAAGATCTCAGCATCCACAGGTGCGTATAAGAAAGCGTTGGCGACGTCGATCTACCGCAGTGGTAACGTTTTCGTGGCCGCGACGTCGAGGAGAATGCGCAGGGAGGTATGTCGGGAGACTGGGGCGAATGTCTCCGTGTAGTCGGTTCCGTATCGCTGATCGAATCCACGTACAACCCAGCGAGCCTTGAAGCGGACGATGGAGCCATCCGCATTAGTCTTGATTCGGTACACCCACTTCCCCGAGAGCACATTCTTCCCGTTGGTCTTTGTTGCAGGTACTAGTTTCCATGTGTTTCGGTCTTGCAGGGCCTTCAGTTCTTTTTCCATTGCTTCCTTCCATTTCGCCTTGTGTTCCCCCCCCAGAGCCTGCGATAGAGTCGTTGGCTCGCGCGGCGATGGCGGCGGCGGGCTCAGGACGGCGACCCATAGTCCAAGTATCTGCAGGCCCGTGGGTGTGTGTCGAGGGGAATCTTCATTCCCGGGATAAGCTGCTTCGTCGCCATCTTCAAGGTCAGGTAAGAAATTCGGTCCTATTCCTTCAGAGACATTTGTGTAAACCGGTTGAGGTGTAGTGTAGCTCTGGTCAGCAAAGTGGTAGTAGGTGTCGAGGTTGTTACTATCGAGAGGGTTGTCGTCGTCGAGTGGAACGGGCACGGATCGGTAAGGGAGTGGTCCGGCAGCTTCCAAGGCTTCAGGTACGTCTTCTTCTGCTGCGTCAGCTTTGAAAGACCGCTGGCCCTCGAAGCCGTCGGTGCGGTCTGCGCTGTTGACGACATTGTCCAGGTAATGCTGCAGCTTTAGTATCTCGTAGAAAATCACATCACGTGAGGCCATGGTGTTTTGTCCTGGATGTCGAGAAGTTTCCATGCGTGAAAATGTTTTGCGATGCCGAGGTGTAGTCCACACCGTGCTCGTTGAGAAAATTGTCCTGCTCGAGCTGTCTGGGGTCTGTACTGTACCATGCAGCCAAAAACTCGGAGTAATTTTGTGCTGCCCAGTTTTCCTATCCACAGGTGCGGTGATGCGCTGCTGGGAAGTGTTGACGAGGGCAGCAAGTTGTGGAGATGGACTGCATGCGTCATCGTGTCAGGCCAAATGGTGTTGGGCAGTCTCATCCCCAGGAGCAGCTTCCGCATCATCGTCTGCAAGGTGCGATTCATCCTCTCTGCGACCCCCTGCTGCTGGTGAACGTAGGGCAGGGACACCAGGCGTTTGATGCCTCTTTCCGCCAAGTAGCTCCTGAACCTTTGTGACTGATACTCCAGTGCCCCGTCTGACTGGAAACTCTTGAGTTGGGAGCCCGATTCTTGTTCAGCGATGGGGAGCCACGTCATAAAAGCTTCAAATGCTTGGTCACGAGTCTTGAGGTTGAAGTGCCAGACGTATCGTATTGCTGCGTCGATGAACGTGATAACGTAGTTGTACTCTGCTTCACTGTCATCTCGAGGCATATTCAAAATATCGTTGTAAACCTTTTCCATCGGTGCGTATGCACGTGCGCTTGGATTGTGATGCGACGGGAAAGGTTGATGGGGAAGATCAGCTTCGGGGCACGTGAAGCATCGTGCGCGGGGTCGTCGAAGCT